TCGTACTTGCTCGATAGCATTGTGGAACATCAAGCGACGGAGAAGATCATTGTCTTCTATGAAAATGAGAATGTGGCATGGTACTTGGCCAGCATGCTCGACGTGGTGAGTAGGCACCTACAGTCTATGCACAGTCTATGCAACGCGAAGCTAACTTGACGAACGCAGATTTCAGTGTCACACCTAATTTACGCCAAATCACTGGCTTACGATCGAAAGATGCAGTACATCAATACATTCAACCACGAAGACAAGTTTCGGTCAGTTTGCTACCTACCTGCTTCACCGAGTAGTCTCTTACATGCATAACAGCGTAATTCTCATGGACCTGTCCCAAGCAGCTGTCGGTCTGGATATGCGCGCGGCTTCGAGGATCTACTTCATCAATCCGGTCCTGAACCCCCAGATACAGGCACAAGCTGTTGGACGAGCTCGGCGTATCAGTCAGCAGAAGCCCGTTACAGTAGAGACGTTGATTCTCCGTGGCAGTATCGAGGAAGTGATTGTTGAGAGGAAGAAGAGCATGTCCCAGATCGAGCACTGGAAGTGCAAGACAATGTTGGACGACCGTCCGATCTACAACTGGATCCTGAACGCCGCCATCATACCGCTGCCCGAGGGCGAGATGGAGAAACTGGCTCAGGCAGTTCCGCTGAAATATCCCCAACCAGTATTCGGCAGCGGTTTCGGAAGAGAACACCATCCTGACCAGGACCTCATCATGGGTGACATTGGTCCCAGCTCACCCATCAAGAATCGACAACCGGCGAACGTCAAGACTACCAACGGAAGAAAACGTTCTCGCAGTCCAGAACCACGGAGTGCGCCTGCCCGCCCTGCGCGCAGAGCGCGATTTGCCGAAGATGATGCTGTCCCATCCGTCAACATCGCGATGAACGGCGAGTCCAGCACTGCAGAGACCCCGGTCATTGACCATCAAGAGAGCGTTCCACCTCAGGACTTGCATGAATTAGACACTAAGCCAGCTCGCCGAGTACAGTTCTCGGTAGCTTGATGACATGTCGACGTACGGGTATTGTGTTTTGATCACGTTTTATAGATGATTGACTTGTATATAACATGAGAAAGGGTGCGGGCACTCCTCAAGCGGCGGAGTGCCATGGTGTGGTTTACCCACGGGTGGCAAGAACTGCTACCCGAGTCTATATATAACGTTCATAATAGCAGCTTCACGGAGGCAGCCAGCTGTACATACCTAATGACCAAAGGTTTCGGACTTCGCCCTTCTTCTCTCTTCATGCAGACTGCGACGCCATCGAAGGCGCATATGCAGAGCACGCGCCCATCGGGGATCCGATCTGAAGATGCAATGCAAGCTGTCGGTCGCCACAGGGATATCTGAGATCGCAGGACGAACTGCGTTGTTGTCTGTCCCTACACGCAGAGCCAAGCATGCGATGGCGTCCGAGGGCCAGAGTCCTGAGCTATTCATAGTTGAATTTGGTGAGGTGTGAAGTCTGACCTCACGGACCATGTTGTTGTTCAGTCCTTGCGATGCTTGTTCCTGACCACGAGGCCTCGTTATGAAGGGGACTAAGTTCGATGACAGCGGAACCCGGTTCACGGCAAGCACGTGTGGACGAACCGGGTCGTCCAAGGAACTGGGCCAACAGAACGGACCGCTGGTGCACTTCTTTTGGCGAGAGGGAGTTTGGACGTTTTTTGGCCCCACGAACCTCACCTTAAATCCCGCGCGAGGGGCAGTGCGCGGCCCTCCGTCCGTTTTGGCGAAACCTCTGTGCACGAAGAAGGCCTGGACGTTGCTGAGATTTGTTTTTTCTTCTTCTGGACAGAGAAATGATGGGGTCATGGGCCCATGGGAAAAACCGAACCAGGTTTTGCAGGCATTGGGAAATAGTTCGATCAAGGTAGTTGGGGTTCTTGGACTTTCGTGCCGAGACGGCGGCGGCACGCCGTTGTGTTGTAGCTAGGAATATCACACGCGGGTGGGGAGGAACACGCACCCACTCTCCAAACCGAGATATCCGTTCAACGGGGGTGGTTCAGCCGGCAAGAAAGGCGATGATGCAATGCGGAGATGTCGGCAAGCCGCCGCGGCCCCCATTGCCCCGGAAAGAGAGGCTGGGAGCCAGGCAAGGTAGGTTTGCGGTGACAGGAAGATCCCCACTCTGCCTTCCGGTGACTGTCCGTCCCAGTTTCCGGGGGGCGGCGACTGAAGAGGAAGAAGAAGAAACGGAGGCGCATCATGACGCCTGTCTCGTTCAATCTGTGACTGTCAAGTCTCTGGGCTGAAGGGCGGGAGGCGTCTGGTCCACACCATCCACATCCAATCCTTCCAAGTTTCATGGATCCTTTTTCACAAAGTCGGCTGTTGAGAAAGCCTGGCCGGTAGCAGCAGCATCATTATCGCGCACTTTGACGCGCAAGCGGCGGCGCCTCCAGGAACAGACGCGGGTGCATTAGCCCAGCGCTCGCTAAGAAGTACCTCGCCTGCGACGCAGTTTAAGAATGACAGATGCATACAATGCAGAGCCATTGTCGATGACATTCCTCGCCCCAAAAGGACAGAATAAAAAAGTCCAGAGGTTGGGCCGTTTGCGCTAAGAGTTGGGTCTAGGGCAGGAAACAGCAGGGACGCCCGTTGAAACGAGTTTCTCACCAGGGCAACGACTTAGCCCAAACTAGTTACCTTGCTCCGATCTCTCGGGACTATCCCCTCCAGCATGGCTATTTGCATTCCACCTAAAAGTCCCATCACCCTCTCTCGGCTCGGCTTGGGACGAAGGGCAGGCAAGAGAAGATGGGATGGCCCGGGCGGGAGGGACTGCATACCATCATCACACCATCTCGCCGGTACCGCTCTCGGGCTGTTGTTGAGATGAGTCGTGAGATCGAAATTGCGATGATAGCGATAACAGCCCTGGGCAAGATGGGTTGCTTCGAGTACGCGGGAAGTCAGCGGGAGGCGGATGCGAGTAAGCGCCTTTCAAGATTGACGAGGCGTCGTTGATGCGACCTCAGCACGCGCTACGGCGTCCAGGGTGCAAGCCGGGCCTCTCAGCTCTCAGCTGAAGAGGGGAAAAGGAAGCCCGGTGGGATTTGCCATGTCGTCCGTTGGAGTTCCCACTTGAAGCAACATCCACGGCATTCTGTTCCTGGTGTACTGGAGAGAGAGAGAGCGGTTTAGCCAATCCGCCAAGGCAGGAAAGCAGCGGCGTACCCGATGCTGCAGCCCTCGAGGTTCCAGCTCCGTCTGTGCCATGGATCGAAAGCTCGAAACACTCCAGACCGACAATCCCGTCATGGCCAGCTGCAGCAACAACCCCCGTACGTACGTCCTATCCAATCTTGGTGCGTGTGGGCGTGTGAAGGTGTGTGTGTTTGACGCTGCAGGGCGGAACGGGATCTCCCCAACCTCTCGCCGATATGCTTCGCGGGTCACCTCATTCGTTGGTCTGAAGGTCCGGACGACGAGCCCTGGGCGAAAAGCGAAAAAAGATGAGACCAGACGACGAGAGGGAGCGAGCTTAGGGCCGTTCAGGGACTGGGCTCTATTTGCCCGAGACGACTACCAACGCACAATCACATCACCATTGCCTGTCCATGTCTCTGTTTCTCTGTCTCGCATTCTCTGCCTAGGTGCTTCACATGAAAGGACCACGGAAGACGACGGCAACGTGCGCAGCTCTGTATGGGCTGTGTGCATGGCCTGCATTGTCCAGAGGAGCCTATTGCTGGACGTCGATGGCGGTTCATCGCAACCCCGCGAAACGGGGGGGACAGGGAATCATGGCATATGCCTTGGCTACCTCCAGACAGCCCATTGGCCGCGAGCAAACCCGGGAGTCGTCGTCGTCCGTCCCAGCCGCCTCCGCCACGCAAGGAATCGCCCGGCGGTCCAGAAACCTCGCCCAAACCCACCCTGTTAACCTTGTTTTCTTAACTTTGCACACAAATGTCGTCTTGTGCTGAAATGGAATTGTGGGTAGACGTGTATGGATACAGCCTGCGACACATCGTCGATTTGATGGAAGAGGCGCGGGACTGGGCTAGACGAAGGGGGGGCACCGTGGAAGGCAGAGGGGTTAGATTGCCCACATTCCAATCATTCATGCCGACTAAAGCATGCCCCAGCCGCTGTGTTGCAGAAATGCTGCCTCCATATTGCGTTGCTTTGCGTAGAGATGCGGTAAAGGCACAAAAAAAAAGTTCTCTGGACCAGGCCTGGTCCTTGTGTGTTCTGGTGCTGCTGCTTCCTGGTCTGAGGGGGCGAGCGCCGACACATGGACATGTCTTACCGTGCCCACGACATGACGGATATTTCGAGCGTGCGTGGGTTGGGGGTGTTGGCTGAGGCGTGTGTGTGGTCGTCCTCGCGAGAGAGTGGGAGGAGCCTGATATAATGCGGTCAGCGCATGAGATTCCGCAATCTCGTCCTTTTGCCCTCGCTGCTCATTTCTCTCTGTGTTTCGAGTGCGCGCAACAGCCCCCTTTCTTAGCATTGGTACATATTTGTCTCGACTCGTTCCTTGATTTTCTTCATTTTGGTTGTTCGGATTGCTTGGGTATATGGGTCCCGGCCGGATTGTCTGAGCTTGGCTTCCACTGTTTCCAACCCCTATCCTTTCAGCTCAGCTCGCTTCAGTCCCTGCTTGGTGATGCCTTCAACTTGGTAACGGGCGGGTCGGCTACTGAATCGAGAACCCACACGGCAAGGCAACGACGGCAACTAGCCAAGCTCCCCACGCTGGAATATATTAAAAACACACACAAAATTACGGCACATCGACCTCATGAGGACCAAGGTTGCGGGCACCCTTTGGCGACAATAAAAAGAGCAGTCTCCCCCTCAGACGGCCCCGGCGAGCGGTGCGGCTGAATTGAGTGAGAAAGAGAAGAGAATTGTGAGGAGCGAAAAAGAGTCGGTCAGCGCCCCAGCAACGACGGAATCTCACCGAAGGCCAAGACGAGGAGGTAACGAGCCATTGAGACTCGGAAAACCCGAAATCCACGGCGAAATGATTAGCGGACGGCAGTACTACGAGATCCCACCCGCTGGCGGCGGCGGGAGCGGCGGCGTCGTCATCGGCGGCGGTGGTGGTACCCGTGGTGGTGCGGGTAACCACGCGATGAACGGCCACGGCAGCATTCATCGATTCGACCCGACATACGTTCCCGGCTACGGCCACGGCGTGCATGGTTACAGTCGGGGCCACAGTCACGGTGGTGGTGGCTACTACGATCGCAACCGCGGGACGCGAGTCCAGCAGTACGACGACGACGACAACGACGATAGCAACAATATCAGCATCAACCACGGCTTCAAGCCTGCCCCCGCGGCCAGGCAATCCCTCTCGGCGCTGGACGAGAAGCGTGCCAACGAGATCCGCCGCGGCGTTTACGCCCACGTCTTTCTCGATGTCAAAAATAGCAGCAAATCAGAAGTCTCGTAAGTCCCTCTTTCGTCCTACTGTCTGGTTTTCGCGCCTCCGTCTTCCATTGGCCGCCCCCGTTTCTTGGGTTCATCATCCACCTTTGCTTTCCGTCGCAATTTGTTTCTCGTTTTCGCGCGCGCGTCAAATAAGCCATCAGGCTGTCTGTCAGTCTGTTTTCTGCCCTTCGCGCATGTACACTTCACCTTGCATGAGAATGCGTTCGTGTTCGTCTCTGCTGCAGTCGGATTTACTAGTCATTTTCCGGGTCTGCTAGTCATTTATGTTACCGCGTGCCTCATGCTGCAGCACTTTTTCTGCTGCTGCTGCGCCCTCTTCGATGCCTGTCCTGACTTTGAGGATGGTTTCATCCATTTGCGAGTTGGGACGGGGTCGTTTGGGCTTCAGGTTCATCCGATTATCCCGTTTTGTCAAAGTCAATACTTGGTACCCACGTTGTTTGCGCATGCACATGTTCATGCTGCGTTTTTCTGTTTTTCCACCGTTTCTTGCCCACATTTTTGAAGAAAAAATCTGGAAATCTGGATGACGACTTTGGATACAAGTCCGACTGTTGTCGCGTCGTTCGATCTCCCGAAAGAGTTTAATGGGGCGCTGCTCCACGCCTCATTTCATCGGCGCCCGATGTTTCCAAGCGGGACGTGGAGCTGAGCCGACGGGGTGCCTGTTAGTGTTGGTTATTGGAAATGCTCTCTCCATTTGCACTTGCACACTTGCTTTTCGGGGAGGCTTGGAAAGACAAGACACATGCAGCAGCAGCATGCGGATAAAATCCCACAGACGAGCAAGCCGCTTCCTTCAATGCCGCAGTCGTTCCTCGAACCTGCTTCTTCTGAAATTGCGTCCCCACGAGATCTTCCGCCCAGCCTCGGCGCGGGCGGAGACGAGAGCTCGCTGATCGCGAGCTGTCACTTCTGGTGATGGACACGCATCGTCATCCCCCCAACATGGATGGAGCTTTGGTCCCCCCGAGTTCGACTTCGACTTCTGCTCCATGTCTCCCCCTTGCCCAAAAAGACACACAGCGCAACATACGACCCCCTTGCTCTTTCATCTCCAATCTCCAATCTGCAGCTCAAAGTTGGGCAGACCCATGATTTGAATCATCCTTCATCCTTGCCAGCAGCCGCAAATCACCCACCCTTCCGACCTGGAGCGGACGCTCTCAATCACTTGGTGCCAGGGAGCACGAGAACGGAGACTGCAGACGTTTTCTCGGAAGGAAACGATAAGCCCAGCAGGAACCAGGGGACCAAAGGAGCTTCCTAATTTCCACCAGGAACAGTGGCGCGCGTCTCTGTCCAGTGGCCGGCTAGGACAAGACTCGCGCCGCTACCCGCCAAGCGGCACGATACGGCTCCAAGGCTGGCTGCTACAAGAGACCAACAAGAATTTTTCCTTCTATTTCTCTTCTCGTCCCTTTTCGCGCCGCACATAGTGTAAGCCCTAGCGCAAGTGCTAGAGTAGGGAGTCGTCGTCGTTCGCCGCGCCCACGTTGCCGGGTTGCGCGACTCGACTACGGCGTTGCTTAGCCCGGCCGCCTTGCAACGCCTTCCCAAGACTCGACACAACACCCGCGACAACCCACGGCTGAGGTTCGCCGGTCCCAGGTGCCAGGGACCCCCCTCAAGCTCCAAGTGCGCCCCCAAGGGGGTGGTGGGAGGGGTGGGAAGGCCCTTGGTTCCACGGCCCATGGCAACCCCCCCGCCGGTGGATGGTGGATGGGCGGGCACCCATCAGTGCCATCACGCTCCATTGGGATAGGATGATCAGAGCCATTGTCTGAGCACTGCCGATGCACCTGTCTGTCGTTGCGTTTTGTGTGTGTCTTCCACGGATGTGTTGGTGTCCGTAGTTACGGTACAGAGTACCTTACGCAGCCTGCCTCCGCTGAAAGCCTAGGGTCCAGGCTACAGCCTCCCCGCCGGTGCCAGCGCTGGTGCGAGTGCCGGCCTCTGCGCTGTTTTCCTCCCGTCTTTTCGTATTAAACATGACTGAACCCCCCCATTCGTCACGTCATGCTGGCGCTTGTTTAATCTTCTCTTTTTTCTCGCTTTCACTGTTTGCCGATTGCTTGTACCTTCTTGGCTTGGACACTGGGACCGGGGCCGTTGCCGATTTCCGATTGCTCTTGTTGGATCTCACCTATTAACACGTCTTCTCCCACCACCTAGTAGCAACAACCCGAGAGTCCAACAACACAAGAGACGAGCTTCCGCCTCACCTGCTGCTTCCACTTACGTCGTACACGATGGTAATCGCCTGAGAGTCCCCGGCCGTTTCTCTTCACGCCCATCAGTCGCTACCGCAGTCACCCTGACCCCCGTCATGGCCGCCAGCCACGGACCGGCCCCAGCATACTTTGGAGCCCCTACGGAATTATACTCCAAGCGTGATTCCTCAATGAATGCGATGTCGCCCGCACGATCGAGCCCGCGGATAGCCCGCGTACCGTACGCACTGCAAACAACACCCGCCGAAACCAAGGGTGTCGTCGAGGCCATGCCCGTCACCCCACTCAACAGACCGCGGAAGCTCTCGCAGGCTTCCACTGTCACCGTGACAAGCGTCAACAGCCCGAGGGACAGCTTCGACTCCAGGTCGAGGAGCTCGTCATGGAGCAGCAACAGGTCCAGCTTCGAATCGAGGGACTCGTGGAGACCCGACTACCTGTACCAGCGACCCAGCCAGCCTGTCGTCTTCAGGAAGAAGGCCCAGCCTGGTGAGATCTTTGCAAAGCTGCCTGGAGAGGTGCTGGAGCTCATCCTGGGCGAGCTGAAGAAGTTACATCTTGACAGGAGTAGTGAAAGCTGTGCGACATGTTGGATGAGGGATCTGTGCTCCATCAGCCTGACTGCTCGGAAATGGTGCAAATACGCACGAGTGGCATTGTAAGGTGGTCTTCTTACGACAACGTTCTGTTTGCTGACGACTTTCAAGATACGAGGATATCCAGCTGGTGGGACCAGACTCGACTGCGCAGAAGAAGAAGTACAAGCTCGCACTCGGCTCCCGAATGATGCTTCTACGACGAACTCTGAGATCGAACGCGTACCTCGCCACCATGGTTCACACCGTGAAGGTCCCAAGCCCGCCCGTTGGCGTCGCGCTGGAGGATTATCACAACCAGGTGGCCGCCCTCATCATGGCCTGTCCCAACTTTGAGCGCCTCATCGGTCTTCACCCTCAGTACAGCCACTCTTTCAGCAAGCTGTACCACGCCCTCTCGACGCGCAAGCGTCTTAAACACATGGACTGGGTGGTCCAGCCCTCCCCGTTCCAGCGACAGCACCGATTGGGCCGTTCGAACTCTTCTGATAATGTCCCAACATTAACCCAACGCCAGCGCGAGATGGTGACGCCTGGCGATCTGCAACCGCACCAGAGCGCTACTTTCCTCGAATACCACGTCGACTGGGCTCACCTCAGCACTTTGACGATTCACTGCCTCCCGGGCGCGACGCTCACCCCCGATAATCTCGTCAGCTCGGCGCTGATGCACCTGACGTCCTTGCAGCACCTGTACCTGTCTCACATGCCGGTGACTGCCTTCAACGACAACGCCCTCCTTTCGCTCCCTCCCTTGCGCACACTATCTCTTTCCCACGTCCCCGGTGTCACTTGTGCCGGAATCTCGGCCTTGGCGACTTTGCCTACAAGCCAGGCGATCCAGAAACTGACTCTGCGCCACATCAACCTCGAATCCCTGCCCGCCCTGGCTCGCATCTTCTCCAACTTCACCTACCTCGAAGCATTCACCCTCGTCCAGAGCTTCGCCCCTACTCTCCCCGAAGACACTTTCATCTGGCTCATGCCCTACCTTGCGTCTGGTTCCCTGCGTAAACTCCACTGGGACATCACAAGCAACACCACCCACGCAAACGCAGCGGATTCGATCCTCGCCCGCAGCATCGCAGCCTCCGGCTTCCCCTCCCTTCGCAGCCTCCGCACCCCGAACGATCCCGAAGGCATCTTCCAAGCTCTCTGCCGCCCCTACGAGCGCGTCGACCTCGCCAGCGACCGATTCCGCCAGCCTGTTGCCCGAAGCGCCTCGTTCCCCGCCGCGGCGCCAGGATCCCCGACCAAGTCCAAATCCAAATTTCCGGCCAAGGCCGCCACACTACCGCCCACCGAGACATTCCTGGAGTGCACCGATCTCCACCAGGCCCGTCTGGCAGCGCAGGCCCGCCTCGAGGCCGCGCGGCCGTTCCCGCGGTTCTTTGTCAATGTCATTGATGAAGATGGCACGCTGTTGGAGAAGTATGGACTGGCAGGTTTCATGGGTACCATTGAGAGCCGCATCTCATACAACCTGCGTCCGGACTCTGGCGCGAAAGACGAGCGTGGCGGAATAGTCGAGATGTCAGACTTAATGGCCGGCAACAACGGCGAGGACATCCCCAACGGCAAGGAAGGTTGCACCGGCCGCTGGAACATGTCTTCGTCGGCGGCGGAGAAGAAGGACAAGGAACGGTGGTGGCACACGGAAAGAGGCCGATGGCACCAGCCCGAACTTGCGTAATGATGATGAAACGTAATCATGGAGGCAATACCCCTTGTGCTCTGGCTTTCCTTTTTTTCTTTTTCTCACTTTTTTCTCCATGACGATTTACTCATGATATCCAAATTGTCTTGGACGTGGAGATAGATACCAAACGAAATCTGGGATGGGGAAACGGATGTGTATAGATGTACTTAATGTTTTATAACGGTATTTAAAGGGCCCAACGACAGACGGCGAGAGATACAAGATGAAGCCAAAAAGAAGTAGATATGCCAGGAAAGAAATCAACAGCACCTCTTTGACAGGGGTTTCTTGACGATTGATTCATCCTTCTGCTATGCTGTATGTCACACTCGTGGGGGTCTGTGAAACCTTGTCAGGAAGCTTTCCAGAAAAAGGAAATGTTTTGTCCTCCAAGTCCTGTTGCCACGGTGTTTCGTTTTGCGTGGAATTCTCTAGAAGACGGACCGGTCCGTCCGGCTTGTGGTTCAGATCATCCGTGGACGGTGACACGCATCTAGGTATCCAAAGAGCTTACATCAGCGCCCCCAGACGAGAGCAGGTCGCAAGCTGTGACATGGTGGGACCAGGAGATGAAGCAGGCACTGCCTCTTTGCTGTTGCCTGTGCTCACAATCATTGTCAGTCATCGCGTGCTGAGGTGCCTAGCTGCCTTTTGAGCATCAATATGAAGTACCGTACATAGGGATGTTCGGCTGGCGGTAGGCGGGGGACCCCGGTGCGCTGCAGGAGCCTTAAAACCCGCCCAGGGGACTCCCCATCACAGGCGGTTCCATTCCTCGCCATCCCTCCCCCCTTCCACTGGACCCGTCCCCGCCCCCACCGTAGGTTCCCTGTCCGTCAATCCCGTGCGCGCAGTGACCACCCGACCGCTGCTGCCTCCCCACCTGACCTCAGTCACCTCCATCAGCCTCAACGACCTCCGACATCTACAGTATCTCGACTTGCACCTCTCACGTACCAGACGTTCATCTCAAGATAGATTTCAATATCCTTCGCCGCTTGAATATTCTCCTGGGTCCTACCCCCGACGCTGACAGCCTTGCTTCATTTGCATCATCACCCGCCCTCGATTGCATCATTCAATCGGGTACCTTATAACGAGTCTGGAATACATCGGCATCAGCCTGGGGACCACATTTTCGTTCGGAACAGGCCGAAAGACGACGAACAGGACGGGAGCGGGAAAGAAAACCACAAAAGGCACGGAAGAGGCAGACCAAGATGGCCAAGGAGAAGACGCTCCGCATCTTTTGCTTCGGCGACTCGCTGACGGCCGGGTTCTCGGCTTACGGCTCAGTCTACCACCCGTACTCCATCGCTCTGACGCAGAAGCTATCCAAGGACTTGTCCCACACGCAAGTCATCGCCACCGACAACGGCATGCCGGGAGATGTCGTCACCCAGGGTGCTTTTGCACAGCGGTTCGCGAGCGAAGGTCCGTTGCCGCCCTCCAGTTTCATCTCACACGATATCTCACTTCACGTCTCACTCATAGCTTCTCATGTATGATGCTGATTGATGAAATGTAGTGAACTCAGTATCATTTGATCCCGTCGCCGGTAAATCAGTCCCAACAGTGTACGACTGGGTTATTATCCTGGGCGGCACAAAGTAAGTTCAAGCTCATTCACCGTGGCCGCATCTCAGATAAGTGCTAACGCTCTTGCAGCGACTTGGCATATAGCGTGCCTCCAGAGAAGATTTTCCAGTCTCTCCTAGCAGTTTACAACACAGCCCTCGAGAAGGGAAGCAAGGTCCTTGCATTAACAGTGCCCGAGACGGCCATTAAGCATACGAAGGTCGATGCCGCGCGGAGCCAACTTAACTCTGCCATACTCTCACATGAGGCGCCAAATTAGTAAGTCAAAGTCTACTTCTTCACAACCCAAGTCGTCACGCGAAAAAGGAGAGAAATGCTGACCGCAGCTAAGCTACGCCTTTGATCTCAACGCCAGAATCCCCTACCACGCCCTCCCGGACAGAGAGCGTAAGAAGTACTGGGATGACGGCGTGCACTTTACCCCGGCAGGCTACGACTGGATGGGCGGCCACATCGCCGAGGCGCTGGGCAACTTTATCGAACTAGAGCGCGACCCCAACTCGCGCAGGTCACGGCGCACGAAGCGGTACAAGGAGGAGGACATCTCCTTTGACGAGGAGTCGGGCGACCCACGGTCGCTAAGTGAGGGATACGTGGTCGTGCGGATGAGAGACTTGGATTAGATACCTTTTATGATGCACCCTTTTTCTCTTTCTTGCTGACATCTCTCTATTGTCGGCTGCCTGCCTTTCCGGCTGCCGAGGTGCCCTCTCTGATGAGTGGTCTCATGTGCTATGCTTGTTTTGTGTGATTCCCCTGAACGCCGGTAAACCCCCCTTACAACGCCAGATATGTTCATCATCCAGTCGTAGCCGTCATTTCATACAACCAAGTTGGCCTCCACGAATTCCTGAGTCGGACGACTATTAGCCGTGTTTGCACAGAATATGTCGAAGAAAGGGGTGGTACTCACGGGGAACTGCTTCTGTAAAGCGTTGGTCACATTCTCGACCTCCTCAGCCATGCTCTGCACGTTGGCGTCCCACTGCCTCATCTCCTTACCGACCGTCACCTCCGCCCGCCCGCTGCCCTTCTGGCCCGAGGCCTCGCCGCCCTCGAACCAAATCACCTCCTCGAGCTGGTCGATCCGGCCGAGAAGCCGGCCCTGCTCAATCATGCGCGCCGTCGTCTCCTCCGCCTTCTCCCCGTCCAGGCCGAGCAGCGAGCCGAGCGCCTCGAAGCCGATGTTGCGGTACAGGCGCGAGGCACCTAGCAGATTGTGCTCCACGACGGCCTTGGCCAGGACGGTGGACCCGTCGGCCGTCGTCGCAAGCTGGTGCGGCTGCAGGCCCTGCGCGAACTTCTCCACCTCCGCGGGCGCGAGCAGCCTGTCAAAGAACATCTTCTCCAGCATGCCGAACTCGTCCAGCCCGGCGGACCGCTCGTCCTTGTACAGCTTGCCCAGCGCGCGGCTGCGCATCGGGCCGGCGGGGGCGAGGATGGCGCACTTGACGGCCATGCTGAGGGTGTGCAGGCGCTCCTCCTCGGCGATGGCCGGGCTCAGGCTGATCTCGTGGTAGCGGTTGCTGGCGCCCAGGAAGTCGCGTTTGGAGTCGAGGATGCGGGCCTGCGAGAGCTTGAAGTGCAGGTCGAGGTCGCGGTCCTGGACGGTGTGCATGATATTCTTGAGCTTGTTGACGTACGTCTCGGCGGCGGTGGTATCGTCGACCTCGAGGTAGTTGCGGGCGATGCGGACCCAGACGCGGGCCTTGTCGTCGTTTGTGACTTTCCGCTGGGAGCCGTCGAGGGGGATCTCGGCGAGGGACTTTGCGGCGTCGAGGAAGTCCTCATTGTTCTCGTGGGCCTCGGCGACGAGCTCGCGGACGGCGGCGGCCTGGTCGAGGAAGGAGGACGGCTGGGCGCTCAGCTGGGAGAGGGTGTGCGTGCCGACGGCGATCCAGAAGTCGTCGTTCTTGAGGTCGCGGAGGACCTTGACGAAGGTTGTGAGGACGGCGCGGGTGGACACGATGCCGAGCGAGGCGGCGAAGAAGGCATCGAGGACGGCGTTCAGGTCGGAGGTGATTGTCGGCGGGGAGGAGAGGTTCTTGATGTCGGCGATGATGGCCTCGTAGGCCGCTGCCTTGTCGCCCGCGGACTCGGCTTGGGCGAGCCGCTCGGCGACCTTTTGCGAGGGCGCCATCGTTGCTTCTTTTCTTCGTTTGTAGGGTTATTCGGGGGAGTGAGTGCAATTCGTGAGGTTCTTGTCTTGGCGTTATGGTGTTGGAAGTCGCAGAGCTGGAGCTGAGCTGTCCGTTGGTCGTCATTGGTAAGGTTAGGCAGGCAGGGTGGAATGGTGGGGTAATAGCTTCGGAGAGGTTGTGGAGGGGTGCAAGGGCCCACCGTCAAAAGTCAAAGACATGCCTTGTACGACGGGAGCTTGTACAATGAACGGAGCTCATCATTGAACCAATTTCATGTGCGATTCAGTGAGGCACTGGGACTGAGTGACCTGAGTTGTCGGGAATTTGATAGAAAAATCGCTTCCATCGCTCATCACTGACTGTTTTCATGCTCTTGTACTTAACTTCAGTCAATGAACAACTTTATGTACACAACAAAAACTATTTTTGTTGACCTAAAATGAGTTCAAGATTCTAGGCTGCCAGATTGAGTGCTCACAATTGGAGGACTTGCTCTAACAAGGCGCTTCTCAGGTTTTTAAATAGACCGCCTGATATGTGTACTTGACTAGGGACGATGGTGACGATAACGACGATGGTAATAAGGAAGATAATAGTAGAGCAGAGCAAGATATATAACCACAGGAGAATTGATCGTTCTAGCACAGGAAGAATAGACTCTTTTCAATTTACGAAGGCCAGTCTCATAGCTGTTGTGAGGATAGCAGTGTCCGTCACCAGTTCCCCGTCTGGCCGGACCCGCATTGGCATCACAGGTAGCTGGAAGGGGAGCTCTTAAAATAGGGCATGCTGCTCAAAACCAACTTGTTGATTCTGCCTCAAGATTTACCCCGTCGGTGAACAGTCGGAATCAAGGAGGCTGGTGTTCACAACATTCGCTGAACTATTTTAAAGCGGTCGCGTGTCTGGGCCATCGGGATTTTTTGCCAAACACGACTCGCTCTCACCCCGTCAATTTTGACCACCCACGATCGCGCGAGACAGGGATCGGCCGGAATGCATGGGAGTTGTGAATGCATTAAATTATGAACGGTGCGCGGGTATCTTTCCAAACATCGGCCCACCATCAGCCGATGATGACGAGCGAACCCTTCCAGCTTAGATATACACTTTTTTCCCTCCTCGGTGTCTTTTTTATTTACAAGACACTTTGAAAATGGTTCGCTTCACCTCGTTTTCCCTCGAAAACTAGTGTTGCAAAACAATCGGCTTCCCCGCCTCCCAGTTGTGCAGGCTCTCCTGGATATTGACCCAGTACCGCAGCTTCACCGCCTCCCTCTTGGCCGTATCGATATCGTCGTGCCGGAACGCCTCCTCCAGCACCTCCTCGCTCTCGCGTATCCGGCCCTCGTTCGCCTCCCGCTGGCCCTCGAGCTCGCTCTCCGCCGCCGCCTCCTCAATCTCCTCGCGCGCCTCCAGCACCACCATCAGCAGCTCCGGGTCCTCGACCTTGAGCGTCTCGTCGTTGGCCACATCCACGCCCCGCAGCTGGAGCAGGTACTGCGCCCGCAGCAGCGGATTCGACAGCGTCTTGTACGCCTCGTTGATCCGCGCCGACGTTGCCTCCGCCCGGTTCTTGAGCTCCGCCGGGTGCATGTCCGGGTGCGCCTTGGCCTGCAGCCGGAGGAACTCGCGCCGGAGGGCGCGCTGGTCGATGGGGAAGTGGCCCTTGGGCGGCGGCCCGTCTGGGAGCGTGATGGGGAAGAAGTCGTAGTGCGTTGCCGGCGGCTTGCTGCCGCTTTCCTGCACGGAGGAGGCCGTCTGCTCGCTCGACGCCGCTGTCGCCGGTCGGGAGAGGGACGCCGTTGCTGACATCCATCTTGTCTGGGTGAGGCAGTTATAGGGTTTCGGGCCCCATTGTGTTGTGCTTCTCGCGGCCAGCGGCGTGCTGGTCATTGCTCCAGTCCCGGCTACCCGGGCCATGGTCGCTTGTCGCCGGCACCTCGCACAGAGGCGGGATACGTCGCGTGCGCTCGTCGTGATTGAAGTACGCATTCTGCAAGACTGGTACGATTGAACTCAAAAGCTTCTCCTTTACGCAGCGCAAAATCGGTAAGTTGTTGGCAGCAATCGTCGGGAATATCTATGCGATTGGAAACACAGTGAATGGTCTTTGGTGTTGCTCATCCGCAAAAGGGCGAAATTTGCGACGGCTGAAGGGCGAATGGATGACGTCCCCCCCTTCCAGTTAATTGCCCACACTGCCGCGCCAAAGCGAAGCGAAGCGGGCTGAGGTGGTCCTAGCGCCGAGAGCCGCGCCGACATGTCCGAAGTCGGCCGGGGGGCAAAGTCGGTGTTTTCGCGGGCTCGCGGCATTCTTTCCACGGGCGGGTCCTGCTCGACATTGTTCCCCAATTAAAAAGGAGCCACAGCTTTTGACTAAAAAGTGCGGTGTGATTCGATGGTTGTCCGGTCACGAAGTGTTGTGCTGGAGCTGTCTGCATCCACACCCTTCCGATGTCTGGGGTCGATTGACTGCATTTTGATGATGCCAGCACCCAGAGAGGAACTGGGTGTCATCACAGGTTTGCGGCACTGATTAAAACGTGCAGACAGTGAAGCATCAAGATGCACTCTTGGACTTGCACTGGAAATCCTTCCCGGTCACTCCCGTGAAGCTCAACCTCTTCGAAGGTCTTATCAGAAAGATGTTCGATTCAAAAGACCAATCAGGGGATTCTTATTAATGCATGTGCACCTATTTGGGCAGCTTTCTCCTACGCCTACCGTATACGTATCCAGAATTGTGTAAGCACCCGTATCAGGCTTGCTTTCACGGACGTGCTCCCCCAACCCCAGATCAAACCCCATGGGACTGGTTCCTAGGCCATACGTACGGGGTAATTACCGCCGAATGGCAGGCGACTTATTACGACGATGGTGCCCGCTTCGCTCGTCTCGTCGAGGTTCGTCCCAGTTTTCGTGTTGAAAGTCGAGACCGCGAACAGCTAAAACATCATGTCCAAGGTATTCACTGCTGAAGAAGGTCAGTCCACGTCGGCTTCTCTGCCCCAATTTCTCCTTGCTGACCCCGAAACCATCAGTGCGAAAGCACAACACCCCAGAGAGCTGCTGGGTCGTGCTCTACGGCAAGGTGTACGACGTGACCGAATTCCTCCCTTCCCACCCCGGCGGCTCCAAGATCATCGTGAAGCTGTCCGGCAAAGATGCGACCGACGAGTACGATCCAATTCACCCCCCAGGTATCCTCGAGGAGAACCTGAAGCCCGAAAACTGCCTCGGCACGATAGACCCTGAGTCGCTGGCTCTGTTGCAGCCCGCGCCGGCCAAGGCAGAAGACGCGAAGCCAAAGGAGGGACCGCCTCGCTTGGAGACGCTGCTCAACCTTGATGAGATTGAAGAGGCTGCCACAAGGTTGATCCCCAAGAAGGCATGGGCATACTACTACTCGGCTGCGGATGACCTTTGGACGAAGAGCAACAACGGCCGCGCATACAGGCAGATTCTGCTCAGGCCGCGCGTGTTTGTTGACTGTACTCAAGTTGATACCTCTACATCAATTCTGGGCCACAATGTTGGGCTCCCGCTGTTTGTGTCACCAGCTGCCATGGCCAGACTCGCCCATCCTGACGGCGAGCGTGGCATTGCAAAGGCTGCTGCCAAGTTCAATGCGATGCAGTGCGTGTCGAACAACGCCTCAATGACCCCAGAACAAATCATTGAGGGTGCTGAGCCAGGCCAGGTCTTCGGATGGCAACTCTACGTCCAAAACGACAGGGCCAAGAGTGAAGCCATGTTGAAGCGCATCAATGCCATGAGAGATCACTACAAATATGTCTGCTTGACGCTGGACGCCCCCTGGCCCGGCAAGCGTGAGCTCGACGAGAAGCAGCAGTTTGAGGGAGCCTTCGAGGTCGAGTCAGAGTCAAACTCCAAGACTGAGGAGGCTAAGCGGCCAGGCGGTGGTGGTGTCGGCCAGCAGCTGTTCTTTGGAACGGCAGCCGACTTGACGTGGAAGACAACCCTTCCCTGGCTTGCAAAGCACACCGATCTGCCCATCGTGCTCAAGGGACTGCAGACGCATGAGGATGCCTACCTGGCTGCTATGTACGCGCCTCAAGTGAAGGCCATCATCTTGTCGAACCATGGAGGTCGTGCTCTCGACACGGCCCCGCCTGCGGTACACACTTTGCTGGAGATCCGCAAGTACTGCCCCGAAGTATTTGATAAGATCGAGGTCTGGATCGACGGTGGCATCAAGCGTGGAACAGACGTTGTCAAGGCTCTGTGCCTGGGTGCGAAGGCTGTCGGCGTTGGTCGCGCTGCCCTCTTCGGTCTGGGTGCTGGTGGCCAGGCCGGTGTGGAGAGGACGTTCGAGAGTGAGTCTTGCGTGTGCAAAACGATGTCGTTGTTGACGAGTCGCTAACTTTTTTTGTCTAGTCTTGAAGGCCGAGACGGAGACATGCATGAGGCTACTTGGTGCGAAGAACATCAGCGAGCTGGGCCCCAAGTTTGTAAGTGATACCACTACGATCCAAACGCAAGACCCTGGTGAGACGTCGGTTGCTAATGTATGCGGCAGATCAACACTCGCCAAGTTGAGAGGGATATATACGATGGCGAGTCTGGGCTCGAGAACAGGGTTAGCCTGTGGGTGAAGTCGAAGCTGTAGATTGACAGCGCCATGCCTGTACACTAGCTGAAAGGAGGAGGCTCTTCGAACGTTGGCCGAAGGGGGCAAATTACTGGCATCGCGGGGCAGACGGTATCATTTTGCCCTCAACGCTGCGATTGCATGATCCCTGACCTCACAAATGTGGGATGCGCCTCAGCTCAATTCAGGGTCAGCCTGGACATCGTGAGCTGAGATGAAGGGTTGATAAGGAAAAGATGGTGGGTGATGGCGGAATGGGTTCTGAAACCAAGGCATACGACAGCGTCGCAATTCCGCTGGCTCGCTCAGCCGTGTATAGTCATATATGAACGTAGAAGGACGCAGAGAGTTCTGGATTTCGAATAACAGGGTTAGGCTTCGGATGCCAATCATTGGCAGCTATTGTCATCCTATCAGTGGTCGGTCCGACGTTTTGAAACGAAACCCTCAGTGGTGTCTTTCAAATTTATTTCCGATCCGACGGCTTCGCTGTCATTGTTAGATCCGAGCGTTGCCTACCAAGGCAGCCGACGACAGAAATGTCCCGGCGTGGTGGGTTGGGTTCCACGATTCTCGGTCAGTTAACGTCAGGCGGTGCGGCGACTTGAGACGGAATTACGTCTGTTGGGAGGTTGAAAGGCCGGGAACCGTTGTCGGCGGCGACGGGATCGTGAAAGACGTCGCGTGAGGAGCCCGAACCTTGGGCCAGGTTGTGAGAGGTACATTGCGCGGCATGATGGATGGATGTAGGATCCATGCGTCTCTAACACGGTTAGTGATGCTATTGTGGCTCTGTGAGTAACCACGGATAATCGGATCGCGAAGGATGGTGGGTTTCTGGCAAAGTTTTGGACGAGGTTAATGTATTTGGAAAGGAAGCAGACGATGTTCCTTCGTCTTTGGTTTTCTGCCTTCGGGTCCCAACGTAGTACTCGGCCGATTGAATCGAGTCGAGTCGGGCCAAGTCGAGTCAGCCCCAGCCCACTCGGGCAAGAAGCTTGTGCAGGGGTGGTTGACGGCATCCCGCGTGGCACACGATGAGGTCGGTGACGACGGGGAGAAAAGAAGAGACCGACAACGAGGACAACCTGGACAATTGCAAATGCTGTAGTACAGACGAGAAAGACTTCAAATGTCGAAGTGGGTGTGACACGGAGTGACAGCCTTCCCCGAGAGCTTCCCATATTGAGAGACGAGAGAGGCGGCAACACTGTGAAGAGGGTGGACGCACAGAGCATCGAGCAGCTTCAGCTCCACTGGTCATCAGCGACGAGACGCATGTCGTTGGCCGCTCAGTTGCTGTTGTTGGTGTGTGATTTCCGGTGGAGATGCGCTAGGTAAGGCACCTGGTGCTTCTAGGTTGTGATTCTCCACTGCCCGGTGCCTTTCCCCCTCCTTTGCGCGCCCAGGTTCCCCGTCCAAAAAGAAAGTGCAGCAGCGGCCTCCGCTCCCCCCGCCAGCACCCGTCGTGCCCAGGCCGGGGTATGCAGGGGTTCGAGTGGTTGGGGTGGGCACGCGATGGACGACTTCAATGTCGGCTGCCCTTCGCCGTCCTGCAGTCTGCAGGTGCCTCGTCCCAGAGTGAGAGCACCTTCTTCGTTTTCAGTTTTTTTAGTGGGCGCGCTGGCAAAAGGCCCCCTCCACTTCCTAATATTTTTTTTCACTTTTTTGCCTTCGACTAGCTGGGCAGGGCAGGTACTTGGGGTGTCTCGTTCTCTCGTACTCAAAGCAAATCATTGGCTTCCTGCGTCAAATCTCCGAGGCTATTTCAGCGTGTCCAGCCAATCCGAACCCTTCATCACCCCATTTCGGTCTGCTGCCGCTCCCTCTGTGCTGTCATTTCGACACCGTTCTTTTCTCTGCATACGTACTTTGCTTGTATCCACGAACTGGTGCCCTTCCCCCGCCCATCTGTGCACGCCAGCAATCCCTCCCATCTGTGGTTCACTAGCACTTTGCCTGGTGCTTGTTTGTCAGCTCTTTCCTGCGAAATCCGTCGCGTGATGCTCCTCGACGCCATGCGTTCATCGTGGCTTGGGCAGCCAAGATTCGGCGCGATCCAGAAGGCAGCCCTGGGGTTTTCGAGGCCAGAATGCTCATTGGCCCTTGGGCAGAGTCCGACGACTTCACCAGTGGCGCACGGCAACTTCGCGGCACGACGAACAGCCGTCAGCCTCAGGGCCGTGATACTTTGATTGGACAGGCGAGGATTCCCTCTCCAGCGCTAGAAGCCAGCCGGACCTGCCTAGTGGCCATTGGGCCGCTGCTGGGAAAAGCTCAACGTCCACTGGATTCCTTGCCTCCACGATGAAGCTTGTCTCATCTCCAAAAATGCAAACCGTCGCCCCCCAGCCGATTATTCTTTCCACGCCGCACCCATCTTAGTTCTCAGACTTCTCCGGCTCTTCAAGCCAACCGACGACCCGAACGGCCTATCATGGGCTGACAATTCAAAAAGACGGCATCATGGTCTCCAAATGCAATGGCCAACCCGCGTTCTCGCCTTGCTCCCCTGCCTCTTTTGGCGGCCAAGCCACCAGAGCCCGTATATTGCGCCGCAGACGCAAATCAGTGCTACCACACACGAGATCACTTTCATATGCTTGACCCAAGACCTCAATTCTCTTCACAAGATGCCGAGGGACCGCCAGCCGGTCGCCCAGCAGGATTGCAACTCTGCGTGTTACTAGGCACCGCGCAAGGGACCACCCCGGCTCTGCTCGACACACAATGCGGGGCAACCGCTTCGAGATGGTGTCGACCTTGTTCTCGGCATGCCACCCAATCTGGACGCTGCCCCGGCCTGCCCTTGCAAGTCTACCGCCGCCAGCCCATCCGTACCATCCATCCTGAACCCTCCCAAGCGCAGATTCGGACGTCAAATCTTGGTGACCTGACAGCTTTTTCATCTGCATCCAGTCACGCCGTGCCATCTGACTGGTCGATCCCGACTCCTTGTTACGCAGTTGGGCTAAGTATCCGTTGGATAGATAGCCCACGCACACGACGTACGGATACTATGGATGGTACACGCCCACTTCGTTTTCCCATGAACAGAGGTCAAAATGTACGCCGGGCACATATGTACTCAATATCCACTCACGCCCAGCCCAGGTATGTACCTGCGCCGCGACCCAACTTTAGACTACCCCGTCTACCTACCGAGTCGGGGCGTCTTAGTCGAATGGGTCGAGGCGAGCGAGAGGGTTACATGCTTGAACCATTGTGGACATGAAGATCTCGAGCTATCGCTACCGTGTGATGCTTTAAGGGTGCCCATTATTCCCCGGCATCCCCAGCCCTTACCCCAGAAAGCATCTCTCGATCTCTGTACTTAAACACCTTTGGTCCCACTCGACTGCTTGGTTCCTCGATACCCTGCCCGCCATCGTTCAGCTGTCATCGAGACATCCAAGCGGACTGTTTGCTCCTTCGCCTCCTTCGAGAGAAACATCGGCCTGTTACGGAAGCGAGCAACAACTCTACGACTATTGCATCCTACAACGCATAACACACACATAAGACGCACAGCACGACTCGGTCAAGATGAGGGACAAGCAAGATATCAACCATTCCGAAAACGCCTTGAACGGTGTCAATTCTGGAGGAAGCGGCAAGAACAAGTCCTGCATGAGGCATTGCAAGAAGCTGTGGTGGGCGTATCTACTCCTGCTGGTGGTCATCACCGCCATTGTCGTCCCAGTCATGTAAGTACACGCGATCAGATCCTTACTAACTACCGGGACGCTCCTCCAAGCATGATACTGACCCTTCCTGCAGAATTTTGGTTGCCGTTCCAAAGATTGCCCAGCATAAGCTCGACGAGGCCGAGCTCGTTGTCGATGGAATTACCCTCTCCAACACAAAGTCCAACTCATACACCATGGCCATCAACTCGACTTTGAAATCGGACGGCAAGGTCAAGGCCACAATTGAGGGCTTCGAGGGAGTCATGTACCTCGAGGACTTGGAGCCGCACACCCCCTTTGTGACCATCAACTTCCCCGAGACCAAGTCCGTCAAGGAGCAGACCGTCAACATCAGCCAGCCTATCCAAATCCAGAACATGGCGGCCTTCACAACATTCAACACCTGGTTCCAAGCAAACGAATCCCTCAGAGTCACAGTCTACGGCGAGACCCACGTCAAGGTCTCTGGACTCCCCAAGAGATACCCCGTGACCTTCAAGAACACGGTCACCCTGCAGGGTACGATCTGAGTTCAGCCTCCAATTTATCGCATGATAAGCTAACAAAACCTAGCCCTGAACGATTTCAAGGGACTCAATGTCACAGAGAGCGAGATCAGCCTGACCCCCGACGCCAATGGCGACAACTTCAAGGGCAAAGTGACGATCCCCAACCACTCCGTCATCACTCTCGAAATCGTAAGTTCATGCAGGTCAGCCAGGTTGCTGCCGTAACTGACACGAAGCTTTCCAGGGCAACGCCTCTTTCCGCAACCTGCTCAATAATAACGAAATCGGCACCGTCTATATTGACAATCTTGTTCTGCATCCGGGCGACAACAACGTCAACATGCGCGCCAACATCTCCCAGGCCCCCGTCCTCACGGCCATCCAGGCGAAGCCCGCTTGCGAGAACGGCGTCATCCCCTTTGGCCTGAACGGCAAGGACGTTGTTAATGGCGGTCAGAGGCTGTCGTACTTTGCTGATGCTCTGGCTGCTGGCACCGTCCTTACTGACATCAACGTCGGCGCTGCCCTCAAGAAGATCGGTCTCAATCTTACCTGCAGCTCTTAAGCAAGCGAGCCTTACGATTAGAGAAGATAAACGCATGGGGAAAACGGGATATGGGGAGGCAAGGTGTCTGCTCGCTGGTTCGAAATAATGATTTACTTATACTCTCACGGGGGAGGATTTACGTGCTATGTGTGGAAGATTTCGATACCTTGACCTCTGTGAGATTACGATACACAGTGAAGCTGGGCGCCATATGGCTGCAATAGCTAAATTATGATACATGTTCCGCAATAATCGTCCCTTTTGGTAGAGATGTATGCTCAGCAGGAAGGTTCTAACTGACAACCTCGCGATGCCAGTTGTTCACACAAGATTAAGCCTATTTCCGACGTCATGAAACTCACCCCATCTTCACCCTACGGCTTCTCAACCTTCTTGCTTGACGCACATTCCCGTCACCTGTCGTCCAAAATTCATCTTCGGTCCGTGTCCCAGACTTCTTCTGCTCTGACGACACGGATGACGGTGCACACCCACACATGGGAGACACGAGGAACACACGGATGCCATCGTCCTAAGGGGGTATCACAATGCCTTTTCCCTCCTTCTCATCTCTTCTCGCTTACAATCAGACGCCGTCAACGCAGATGAAAAGCACTGACTTCTCATCGCAAATCCACGTGCTAGAAGACCACTCGTGAAGCGCGCCTCGGCCCAAGACATCCTGAGACGCCTGCAGAAACCTTGCTCCTCTTTTTTTCTGCCTGTCCAACCCCACGTAGCGCGTAATGCAAGGCCATGTAACCCCAAACTGATCTTCGCGAGCGCTGACTATGCCCATATGCCGTATGCACTAAGAGCTGAAGGGGGGGCGTGGGATCGACTTTTCACACTACCAGCCGCCGCCCGCCTTTCGCTTCCCCGCGCGGGAGATGGCCCCCTGCTCGGACGAAGAAGCCGAAGCCGCCGCCGCCGCCGCCTCGTTACCGGGAGACGCGACTTCGGATGCAGAAGGACCGCCGGCAGCCGCTGGAACGAACTCGACTGGCCCGCCGGCCTTTCTCAACCCAGCACGCTCGGCGCGGACCCGCTCCTGGCTCTGTCGCAGCGCGGTCCTGGTAGCCCACTCGGGGAGGGCTGCTTCAGACGTGGGGTCCCAAATGTCGAGGGGCAGCGTGGTGGCGTAGCCGCCGCGGCCGTCGATGTCGACAAAGTCCATGAGCTTGTCGGTGAGGCTTGGATTGCGTAGGGCGGAGGACTGGGCGAGCTTGGCGTTGAAGTGCACACTCTTCTTCTTGAGTTCGATGAACTGGGTGAACTTGGCGGTTAGGGCTGGGGGAGGGGAGCCTGGAGGCGAGGGGGGGATGTCGAAGTTCGGGACCGGGGGGAGGGTCAGGTCGCGGAGGAGGGCGCGGGAGGCTGTGTAGGGCGAGTCTGCACCGTCGGCTGCTTGTGACAACGGCCCCTGGGGTAGCTGGGCTCCCATGGATGGTAGGGCAGGTCCTAGGGGAACGGAATGCTGTTGAACGGGGCCGATCGTTATGTTCTCTGACGGTGGTTGCGGCTCCTGAGCCTCTTGCTTTGGTGGCTGTGGTGATAGTGGCTTGGCATCTTCTAAGAGTTTGTCAATATGAGATTCGCAAGAGCTAGATGAATGCGTATATCACGTCCGCTTACTTGAATCGGGCTGCTGTGGGGGCGGTGCGGTTGTTTTTGAAGTTTCGGTCTGCGGATGATGAGTTAGTGAATTGCTTGGGAGAAAGGAGTAGTGAGTGAGTGACGGCACCTTCTCCTGAGGAATAGTCTCTTGGACATCGTCATCCTCGTCACTGCTGTCATATGCGACCAGGCCAGCCATTTTGATTGAAGTAAAATGAAAATAAAAGTAAAAAACTGCCAAGAACTTCAGATGATCGTGGGGGAAAATCAAGATGAATTCAGCTCTGTAGCGATGGCGTTGATCAAGGTGAAGCGCCGGTGTGAGTTCCTTACAGGCTAGCTAAATTCCGGGGAATTAAATTGGATTTTTTCGATTGGCCTACTAGAGTGGGTCCTTGCCGCAAGGTCTGACCTCACGTTTGGGCGGCCTGGAGCAACCTAATTATCACGTCGCGACCTTTTTCCGCCCCTCCCAAACTTCTCCAGCCGCATGTCATCAGCGTCGCCATCCTAGCAGACCGATCTGTTGACGACGCTCCTTCTTCACACCATCATTTTACCCTACGGAGCTGTCAGAGCCAAGCTCCAACAGTGGTGACACCCAGAGTGACAGAACCCTGCGAGAACAAGAAGCAAAAAAAAAGTAGCTCTCACCAAACGTAGTGTCTTGCTGAGAGTTCGAGACCTACAACATGGCTCGGACCAGGGACTCGCGCTCACCATCGCCTGCAGGAAGCCAATACAACGCGAGACGCCACCGCAAAGACGATGACAGGCGCGATCGGGATCGCCGCGATGACGGCAGAGACTACCGTCGTCGCTCGCGGTCCAGGAGCCCTGGCGATGTGAGAAGACACCACCACTATTGGAGACGCGATGGGGAGCATTCTGACAAGTTCAACGAGCAGCGCCGATACCGAGATCGCGACCGTGATCGCGACTCCTACCGCCGCAGGGACCGCTCCATAGACCGACGAGACGATGATTCATATCGAGGAAGCCGACGAGACAACGACCGCCACAGAGACCGGAGGAGGTCGCGTGACCGTTACGCTGACCGAGACCGGTCGCTTGACAGACGGCGGCATCGTGACAACGACAGAGACCATCGCCCGCGGCGGGACGATTCTCGGGACAGGGTGCGCGCTAGGCGTGAGGGAACGGCTGATTCCCATCCCCGTAGCAGGCGCGATGACAGCCGTCCGCGCGCTGCGGCGCCTTCAGACAGCACGCCAACTGCCGGTAATGAGGTATGAATATCCCCCATGTATGATTGATGCGAACATCGCTAACAACGATTGATAGGCTGCTAAGCCCAAGCCTACCCCAGCACAGACTGAAGCTGACAAGAAGGCTGAGCGACTCGCCAGACTTGAGGCGTGGAAGAAGAGCAGGGAGAACAAGGCGAGCAAAGAGAATGAGGTTAATCCAAGTCAGACTAGGAATCTCCTTGCTGAGATGGACAAGAAGTCCGTGCCTTCACCGGCCGCTGCTTCGCCCACCGTTGCGTCGCCCGCCGTGGCCTCACCCGCTGTCGCGTCTCCTGGAGCTGCATCGCCAGCTCCGACACAGGCGACATCTGGAGCCGCATCGCCGGCTGTGCCTTATTCAGGCAAATTTGACCCAAAGGCGATTGCCAAAAAGTCTGCGGCGTCACTCAAGCAATCCAACTCGAATGGTGTTCTGGGCTTGCTTGACGGCCGTCCTGAAAAGAGTACTGCTGCTGTTGCGCAGACCACCAAAGGTACGTTTGTTCCGCGATCTGCCACGCATACTCCTGCTTACCAAGACATCTCAGCTTCCGCATTGCCCGCCAATCGAGGAAACCTGAGCGCCTTCGGCTTCCACAAGCAGGCCGACAGCGACAAGCTGCCCAGCAAACGCAAGCTGGACCTCGACGAAGAGGAGGGAACGAAGAGGAAACTTACGAAGCTGCCCGCCCTTCCCCTCGAGGCTGATGACACCCCCTATGCTGATCAAGATGAGGACGATGAGTCTGACGGCGGCAACTTTGCCGAGACTGAGGAAGAGGCTATTGCGGCCGCTCGCGCAGCACACGAACGGCGAGAGAAGGAAATGCAAGAAGCAAAAGACGAGGAAAAGCCCGACGTCACAATGGATGACGCGGCTCCGGCTCAGACGAACGGCGCTACCGAAGAATCCTCAGCGGACAAGATGGATGTCGAAGAGGAAGACGAGGTTGATCCCTTGGATGCCTTCATGGCCGACTTGGACACCAAGCCCAAACCTGCTGCTCCCAAGGCAAGTACATCATCGAAGAAGGTCCAAGAACCCGAGGCGTACTTCAGTGACGATGACTACGCCTTCAAGGCAGAAGACAAAGATGCGAATGCAATCCTCGCCATGGCAGCCAAGCGCAAGAAGAAGGATATTCCCACCATCGATTACAGCAAGCTCGATCTGCAGCCAATTCGCAAGAACTTCTGGGTTGAACCAGCAGAGCTTGCAGCCTTGACCGAAGCTGAGGCCAACGACCTACGTCTGGAACTCGATGGCATCAAGGTTTCCGGGAAAGATGTCCCCAGGCCTGTCCAGAAATGGGCTCAATGTGGTCTCACACGGCAAACACTGGATGTCGTCGCCGACTTGGGATACGAAAAGCCTACGTCCATTCAAATGCAGGCGTTGCCCGTCATCATGTCCGGCCGCGATGTGGTCGGCGTAGCCAAGACTGGATCCGGTAAAACGGTTGCTTTCCTCCTGCCCATGTTCCGTCACATTATGGACCAGCCTCCCATCAAGGACACCGATGGTCCCATCGGCCTCATCATGACCCCCACCCGCGAGTTGGCGGTTCAGATTCACCGTGACTGTAAGCCTTTCCTCAAGGCCATGGGTTTGCGGGCTGTCTGCGCTTACGGCGGAGCGCCTATCAGAGATCAAATTGCCGAGCTCAAGCGAGGAGCCGAAATCGTTGTCTGTACGCCTGGCCGCATGATTGATCTGCTGGCAGCCAATCAAGGCCGTGTCACCAACCTGCGCCGCGTCTCATACGTCGTCCTTGATGAAGCAGATCGAATGTTTGACATGGGTTTCGAGCCTCAAGTCATGAAGATCTTTGCCAACATGCGACCTGACCGCCAGACCATCTTGTTCTCGGCGACGATGCCTCGCATTATTGACTCTCTTACCAAGAAGGTGCTGAAGTCTCCAGTAGAGATAACCGTCGGTGGCCGCAGCGTCGTAGCGCCAGACATTACGCAAAAGGTCGAGGTCATCCCTGAAGACGCCAAATTCGTCCACCTCCTAGGACTCCTTGGTGAGCTTTACGACGAGGACGAGGACGCCCGTACTCTCATCTTTGTCGAACGTCAAGAGAAGGCAGACGACTTGCTCAAGGAGCTCATGGTGAAGGGTTACCCGTGCATGTCAATCCACGGCGGTAAAGACCAGATTGATCGAGACTCTACGATTGCTGATTTCAAAAAGGGCATTGTCCCTATCCTTATTGCCACCTCCGTTGCCGCCAGAGGTCTAGACGTCAAACAGTTGAAGCTGGTTGTCAATTATGATGCCCCTAACCATCTGGAAGATTATGTCCACCGCGCCGGTCGAACCGGAAGAGCCGGTAACAAGGGTACTGCTGTGACTTTCATCACTGAAGAGCAAGAGAACTGCGCTCCTGGTATTGCCAAAGCTTTGGAGCAGAGCGGTCAACCTATACCTGACCGTCTGAACGAGATGCGCAAGGCCCACAAGGACAAGGTCAAGGCTGGCAAAGCCAAGGACACTTCTGGTTTCGGTGGAAAGGGTCTGGATCGTCTCGATGCCGAGCGTGAAGCTGCCCGTCTTCGCGAGCGCAAGACCCACAAGGCCGAGGGCGAGGAAGACGACGTGAAGGAAGAGAAGACTGAGGAAGACAAGGGCAAGGATGCCGCGTCTGCCATTAAGTCAGCCGTCTCCGCGATTGTATCACGCAACGCCAACAAGCCTGAGGGAGAAGCAAAGCCCAAGGACGCGCCGGCCGCCGCGGGTGCCCCTGGTGGCAAGAAGCCTCTGGACGCTGTTAGTGCCGCGATCAGTGCTATCAACGAGCGCCTTGGCAAGGCTGGCCAGCTACGTTCCGGACAGCCCATTGACAATAAGGGACCTGATGCCGGTGCTTACCACGCCACGCTGGAGATCAACGACTTCCCGCAGAAGGCCAGATGGGCCGTCACAAACAGAACCAACGTGGCCAAGATTCTGGAGGCGACTGGCGTGTCAATCACCACGAAGGGAACGTTCTATCCGGCGGGCAAGGAAGTTCCTCCTGGAGCAGACCCCAAGCTGTACATCCTTGTTGAGGGTGACACTGAGGTCGTAGTGGGGGCTGCTATTACAGAGCTCACTCGTCTCTTGAGCGAAGGTACAGTGGCCGCTGCCACGGCGGACAGCCGCGCGCCCGCCTCTGGACGTTACAACGTCGTTTAGAATCTTTTGTGTGTCTTTCGTTGTCCATAGTAAGCTCGTATTTAAGTCGGTTGTCGGAGTGGCGGCGTCAGGAAAGAGGGAGGTTCGCCTCGAAATATACATCAGGGCACACATAACGGAAGGGAGATCCGTCCTTATCGGGCTGTAGTATTAGTGAGAGGTTTCAATAAAAAACGCGCTCTTCAGATTGGCTCAGTTCTCGGTGAACGGTGGATGAGACTAAGTAGCCATCGTCGGTCGCATCTTTCAACGTCTTAATAGTCTGCTGGGGAGACCACCAACTTATGCCGAGAAGCGCGGGACCGAAACATAGAGGGCTAGTTGTTTCCGACAGAGAATAGGTCAATGTAATAAATCTGCTTTCCCATGCGCTAATAATGACAAAACCAAGAGGTATTATGGAAACGACGCCCGCCAAACCCCATATTATCTTGCAAAGAACGCTGCCTCCTCTTCCTCAACGCCCGGTCTAGTTGTAGGTCCTCGCCTCAGCTGCGGCATCAGCATCGCGCTGGCGCAATTGCTGGGTGCTGGCATCCTTCAGTAAATCGGTCTGCGTCTGCTTCTTTTGCGCATTCAGTTGCGAGCCCAGCTTCCCCGTCGACTTGTTCGCTGCTTTTGCGCGGGCCTGTTGCGGTACATGTTAGCAACACTGTCTCATAGTGTTCCAAGGGGGGTCCATCAGTCGCCTGGCTTGGCATAGGACGGTGAGGGGGCGCCTCTTACCTCTGCTGCCTCGGCGGCCCTGCGTCGCGCGTCGTCCGCGTCGGCGTTGGACCGCTCTCCGGATGCGCCGCCGCCGCCGCTGCCGCTACCACCACCCAGTGTCCTCGGAGGCCCTCCTACTCTCGCGGGGATGGGCGCGGTCTTGGGTTGGGGCGGGGGCGCGGTGCCGAGGGGGCGGCCCGGGGAGGAGAAGTTGTCATCGCCCGACTCCTTGCCGCAGACGGAGCCCATTGTCGCAACGGCGGTTCGGGAACGGGGTATGGATGGTCCTTTGTTTGATCGATGCGCGCGCGCGGCGGTGGCGAGATCGTTTCGGGGGCGCGATTCAGGACGGAAGACGGAGCCAACGGTCGGGAGGATGAGGTTCGGCGGGTTGGGAGTCCGGAGGGAGGAGGTCGGTGCGGATGTACGTAATTACGGTGTGTTCGCGGCGGCGGCCGGGATGCAGGGTCTAGGAAGTGTGGTTATCTGACTTGTCGGTTGCGATCAGGGTTGCGACGGTCGTTCGGTGGGATATCCTGCTGTCGCGGTAGGAACGGATGAATGAGATGAGACGCTGGAAGACGTTCGGAGAGGAAAACGTCAACATAAGGACCACTTGGCCCGGGGAAATTCAGGGCCGCGTAAGGTAACCTCGTCTATTGACATGAAGCCAAGACTGCGACGGGAGGTTCGACGACAGCTGCGCCGCCCTGCCACAATGGACGCCGCGCACACGGTACACCCGGCGAAGAGACGCTAACAATCAGCAGGCAAGGGTCCCGTGGTGCTTCGCTGGGTCCGTTTGTCTCTGTACGGGTAAACCGCCTTCCAGGGCTGTGCTACAGCGGGGGCGGGGTTCATTGGCTCGAGACAGGTTGCTCCGACCTCCCCCCAGCCAGTGTCTCCAAAAATGACGCTGCAGCGCCGGACCAATGGCCGAAACTCCAATTCTCATAGTGTTTTCGCAGAAATCTGCAAACTTTGGCGCTTCAGATTCACCAGGTGGGGGCGGGGATTCACAGCCTGCGCGGCAAACGCGACAATGATTCCTCCGCTGGCTTGACTCAATATCTGCAATCGCCATGTCTGCGGGATAAGAGCGACTGGAGCTGTGGAAGAAGAAAGATCCTCTCTCGTGCTCAGTTTCCCCTCATCGTCGTCCCACTCGAAGGGGCCCCGGGAGGTTGGTTTGCGGTTGAGGTCACTCTTGTCGCATTGCACCAGGAGGGACGAGCGTGGGGCAAAGTAACCTGTAAAGTACATCATCTAGCACTAAAACACCCCGCAATCCTGCGGTATCTGCCCCGTACTTTTGCCAGCGTTTTATTTTTTTTCGTAGCTGCCCCTCCCCCTCCTTGATCGGAAGCTGATTTTGCGCGCCTACCTCTCACACCCACAACGCATCATCGCGTAAGGGCAAATTTTTTGCTTTTCCAATCTTGCCTTTCCCCTACTCCTCTTCATTTCCCAATTGTCCTTTACTTTCATCCTTCATTCCCCGACACCAAGCCATTCCGTCGAGTTTTGAAGGTACCGAAGCAAAGATGTCGGGTCAGAAGATTGCCATCCTCTCTGTCTATGACAAGACGGGTCTGCTGGACCTGGCCAAGGGCCTCAACCAGCAGAATGTCCGCATCCTTGCCTCTGGCGGCACTGCCAAGATGATTCGGGAGTCTGGTTTCCCTGTTGAGTAAGTCTACCAATAAGCCATCATTACCTGGGCTTCCGTGAGTCGAACATGACTGACTGGGCTGCTCCTCGTACAGGGACGTTTCCGCCATCACCAAGGCCCCTGAGATGCTGGGCGGTCGTGTCAAGACTCTTCACCCCTCCGTTCACGCCGGCATACTTGCGAGAAACCTCGAGTCCGACGAGAAGGACCTGGCCGACCAGAACATCAACAAGGTCGACTATGTCATTTGCAACCTGTACCCCTTCAAGGACACCGTTGCCAAGGTCAATGTCACCGTCCCCGAGGCTGTCGAGGAGATTGACATTGGTGGCGTCACCCTCCTCAGAGCTGCTGCCAAGAACCACAGCCGTGTTACCATCCTCAGCGACCCCAAGGACTACGCTGAGTTCCTCAAGGAGCTTGAGACCGGCGAGATCACCGAGGAGAGCCGCAAGCGCTATGCCCTGAAGGCCTTTGAGCACACTGCCGACTATGACACCGCCATCTCCGAGTTCTTCCGTAAGCAGTATGCTGCCGACGGCAAGCAGTACATGGCTCTCAGATACGGCGCCAACCCCCACCAGAAGCCCGCGGCTGCCTTCGTGCCTTCTGGCGAACTGCCCTACAAGGTTCTCGGAGGCTCCCCCGGTTACATCAACCTCCTGGACGCCCTCAACAGCTGGCCTCTGGTCAAGGAGCTCAAGCAAGCTCTGGGCAAGCCCGCTGCTGCAAGCTTCAAGCACGTCTCCCCTGCCGGTGCCGCCATTGGAACTCCTTTGACCGAGGATGAGCGCAAGGTCTACTTTGTCAACGACATTGAGGGTATTGAATCTTCTCCCCTGGCTCAGGCCTACGCTCGTGCCCGTGGTGCCGACCGCATGAGCAGTTTCGGTGATGTGATTGCTCTCAGTGACGTTGTCGATGTACCCACTGCCAGCATCATCTCCAAGGAGGTGTCTGACGGTGTCATTGCTCCCGGTTTCGAGCCTGCCGCCCTTGAGATCCTCAAGAAGAAGAAGGGCGGAAAGTACCTGGTCCTGCAGATCGACCCCGACTACGTCCCCTCCAAGACGGAGACTAGGACCGTGTACGGCGTTACTCTGCAGCAGCACCGTAACGACATTGAGATTTCCCCCAAGTCTTTCAACAGAATCATCACGCCCAAGGACTCTGCCCCTCTGTCCGAGTCCGCCCTGCGTGACTTGACTGTGGCTACTATTGCCCTGAAGTACACTCAGAGTAACTCTGTGTGCTACGCCTACAACGGACAGGTCATCGGCCTGGGCGCCGGACAGCAGTCCAGAATCCACTGCACTCGTCTCGCTGGCGACAAGGCAGACAACTGGTGGCTCCGCTTCCACCCCCGCGTTCTGGGCATCAAGTGGAAGAAGGGCACCAAGCGCCCCGACAAGAGCAACGCCATCGACCTGCTGGTCAGCGGCGAGCTCCCCAAGTCTGGTGCGGAGCGCGACATGTTCGAGGCGGTCTTCGAGGAGGTTCCTCCCGCCTTCACTGAGGCCGAGAAGGAGGAGTGGCTTGGCAAGCTGACCAACGTCGCCGTGTCAAGTGATGCTTTCGTAAGTTTCAAATGCTCCGATAATGCAAGCCACCTGCTGACCAAGTCCAGTTCCCCTTCGTTGACAATGTTTTCCGCGCATCTCGATCCGGTGTCAAGTATATCGCCGCCCCTGGCGGCAGCCAGAACGATGGGGCCGTGTTTGACACTGCGGAGAAGCTTGGCATCACTTTCGTCGAGCAGAACATCCGCCTCTTCCATCATTAAGATCTCGTGTTTTGACAAAAGCTATGGTGTTATGGGGAACCATTGGGAATGATTGGATCGACTGGGATCCGGGGAAAATTGAGACTTAGGAGGCGTCCATTCAACTCCGAGAAATACCGGCCTTGGGCTGTGGAGATCTCAACGATGATATGCATCACGAATCGAGAGCAGCAGCCGCAGCCGTGTGAGTGGGGAGTGGCGCCGGGGAAATACGCCACGTCGGAAGAGCACTGATATTCAACATATATCCGGAGTACTTGGGATTGACTTATTTAGGCAGATAGCGGAACATGTGGTGTGGCTTTTGCTACTTTTACGACCTCAAAGTCACTACGGAGGAAGTTGACTTCCGGTAATCATTGTTTATCATATTACACTGGCGAACAGTACTCTTTCGCAAAAGAAGATTTCAACACGAAATCTCTACTCCCTTGGGCTATTGGCGTAAACCCGCGCGCGACTTTGATTGACCGGACGTATCTCCATCGAATATCTCAGTGACGGGAGTTTCTTCAAGCCACATGCAACGATATTTTCTCTTTGGGAAGAAAAAGCCTTTTGCGTACTGAGAGTTTCTTCCGGCAGTCGGTGTTAAGCATGGCAATGTAGCAATTAAGCTTTTGAAATTATGAGGCAACTAACTGGGCATCTGATCAGTCCGTTATGACTCACACGGCTTCAGCTCTGCGAGATCCACCGAGAGATTTGTTTAGTCGAATACGATTATCGTTTGAATTCGAAAATGAGAAAACATCATGTTCCTGAAGGCATGCATATGCGGCGTCATCGCGTCATTTGCGCAGCACTGGAGCAGAAGTGGTCTACTTACACTTTGTGGCGTGATCAGTTTGGAACTTAACTTGAGGGCATGCCGCTGGTGGCTGGCTGCTCGCCTTGTTTTCTCATCCCATTGTTCTTGTGCCTGCGTTTAGATCAGGGAATTGGGTTTGGCAGTAGCCCCAAAGTTCCTATTCGCATGAGATCCATCATGGAGGCAACAAGGCAACCAGCTATCTGGCCCTAACTCGGAGTTGAGCGCCTCAACCGCCGCGGGAGATGTTCGAATGAAGATGAGATGTACAGATTGTGTTTAGGTCCCGTACACAGTGCTCCCTCCCATCTCAGCGAGGCGCACAGGCACAGACAGGCGCAGGCGAAAATATGCGCACCATAAACGCAGCGTTGCGGTTCTTGCTGCTTACATACGCGCAAAGCTGGACGCCCGAGCCAATCAGAGGCCTCTCGTCTGCTAAGAAAGGGACGGCAGTGGATCCCAGCGCCAACCACAGGCGACTGATTACCTTCTTGAGATACGTATCCGTACCACTTGCTGGACCCCCCCTGTGACCCGTGTTCTCCACACACGCCCCCACGTTGTCAGCTCGTCAGCCTCTCAGAGGTCCAGCATTCCTGCTCATGAGAGGCTTGCTTCGGTTCACACATCACGACGGCGGATGATGGCTTGACCAGCGGCGGCGCTCATCGAGCTCTGCCTAGAAAGAGGAAACCTTACGTCTTGTCTGCGAGCACCGATAACGTTGTTGGTGGCAGCGCTCAAATTACAATAAATATTTAAGACGGCAAGACCCGTGTGGTCAAGGGGGTTGCGTCGACAATCAAGCCAGAAAAAACACACACAAGAGAAAGAGAGAGAGAGAGAGAGAGAAACCAAAACCCCGGAGCGCAAGCGCAATATTGCCTCGACTCCTTCAGACCCGAAGGTAAGTACTCATCGTCACAAGTGATCCTTTAGCATGGGTTTTTGACAGAAGCGACAGGGATTCCAGTGTTACGCTGCCCCTCCGTCGCCATACTGAAAGACCGCATTTTCGCGCCGGTGGCCATCAAGGTTCTCAAAAGCGCACCGCACCTGGGCATCGTGCCTACTCCAGCAGTGAACACCGCCTTCCCACACCACGCGCAGCAAAAGGACGCCAGTCGCAGGAGCTGCCAGGGCGACGACGAACCACCGGCTCATTTCCCCTCAGTTCGATTCACCTTCCAATTTTTCTTGCCTCCTTCCTTGCCCAGAGCCCCAAACCCAAGCTCAAGCTCAAGCTCAAGCAAGCCATAGCACGAGCTGGCTTGTCAACGGCTGGACCTCCCTCCCTCTTCTTCAAGGTTGTCTCGCTAGGTTCTTTTTGGTCCCAACCCCAAGGGTACTCCAGCCATACAAAGTCGGCGCCATTCCGTCTGCATCCCAAACTTCCTCCCAGACATAACTGGATCTTTTCCCACCAACCCCCAGACACTACGGCTACACCATCTGTTCTTCATACTTTATCCAGGGTCTTACCGTTGCGGCTCTGCGACCTTCCGAATCATTTCCACCTCGACAGTCTTCTCCAGCCAGCCCTCCTCGTGGCCCAAGTTACCTTGCCCACTGACGATCAACGTGGGGTGACCCAAGCGCGCAAACAACTTCGAAGTCAACGTCACATCTCTCTCCATCATGGACGGCCTGGGCAACCATGGCATCCATGAGCATCTTGGCCTCAGGGGAGAGACAGAAGAATATTACCAACTGCAAATGGAGCAACATCAGCACGCCCAGCACTTCCAGGGCCACGCACACAACCACCTTCATGGTCTGGTGAATGATCCTTTCCTGCCCTCCTACCACGACGACACCTGTTTAGACTTGGGCCCAGGACATACACATACCCACGGTCCCACCAAGAGTCATCAACAAACGATGAATCAAGCCCATCACGGTCGCAGCATGAGCATGGCTGCTATATCAACCAACAATCTCTCTACGCCTCACACACCAGACATTAACGTTTTCGGCCCCTTCGTCTCGAACTATACTATTGGCGTGACGCCGGAAAGCAATATGACCTTCGATCATCACAATGCAATGTCTGTGGATTGGATGACGGCCTATCAAGAGCAGCAACAGCAGCAGTTGATGGGCTATCAAGAGGAGCAGCTGCAGCAGTCAAGCCCCGCGATGCCTAGCAACCATTCTGATTGTGACGAGTCCGATTCCTGCGCAATGCAATGCCCCGACAGCCGCTGCGAGCAGGGCGTTGCCTGCAACAACAAGGATTGCGCCGAGTCTCCTTGTCTCTCTAGTTTCTCTGATTGCGACGACCCTGAGTGCGAGGGAGACGTCTGTAGCGAACCAGACTGTTTAGCGCTGGACGGGCCTTCACTGAAGGCTGCAGAGTCTCTCATTTCGTTGGAATCGAGGCCGGCGCAGTCTTCGTCCCAGCCGCCTTCTCAGCCCTTCTCAGGCCAGGGCACTCCCCATGGACTGTCGGCTCATTTAACGATGCAGTCAGTGAACATCGGCGGCCTTTCAGAGACACCCAACTTCAATATGGCGCATGGGGACTTCTACTGTTCATCATCTGCTAGGCACGGTATTCCATCCGACGGTCTCCCTATGCCACACGCCTATGCTTCTCAAGTCTATACGAACGGATCCATCGACTTGAACGACTTGAACAACAACATGGACAACTTGAACCAGTTTATCATCCATGCACTGGAACACCACGTCCCTGGCCCCCATCCTGATCGTTGTCTGGGACCTTGCTACGACACGGTCAACGGCTTGGTATTTGAAAAGTGCCCCCTCCCAATGGATTCGCACTTCCACCCAGGACAAAGAGGGTTTTGCACAGATAACTCCACGCAAGGGGAATGTAATGCACCTTTGCATTCCGAACCTGGGGCTTTCTTGGATCATATCAGGGAGATGCATCCCATGACTATTGAACAACACATGATGGAAGCAGTCTCGCAACAAACAGTTTGGCCAAGCTCCCGGGGTACTCTTCCAGCACAGAAATCGATCTCGAGGCGATCACCTCTTGACATGTCGTCGCCAACACTGTCGTCGGCTTCCGGGACACCCATGTCGGCGGAGACTCCAGTCACGCCTGACACAGATATTGGACAAGCTTGCACTTGCAAATGGAAAGTCAGTGATGACCAGATCTGTGGTCTTAGGCTTCCCAACGATGAAGCTCTCCAGAAACATTGCAAAGAAATCCACCTGAGCGCAATGGCCAAGCAGGCAAAGGGGTTCCCCTGTCTTTGGAGCACATGCCCTCGCGATACTACGTTCAACCAGAAGTCCAAGCTGGAACGCCATATGCAAACGCATACAGGATGTAAGAGACCCTTTTGCAGTCCCCTTCAGGGAAGATAACTGACTGTACCGCAGACAAACCTGTCAAGTGTGAAGTCTGTCACGCTGCACTTTCCGCCAAACAGTCGCTGGCACAACACATGCGTATACACACAGGAGAGAAGCCGTGGAAGTGCAATTTCCCGGACTGCACGCAAAGTTTCAAACAGCAGAGTGCACTCAGTAAGTTCCCATCGAAGTCTCAACATGATCTAGCTGACCTTCGTAGCCATGCACAAAAGAACCCACACTGGCGAAAAGCCACTATCTTGCGAAATCTGCGGAAAGAAGTTTGGCGAGTCCAGCAACTTGTCCAAGCACCGCAAGACTCACAACGTTAAAGGTCAGTTCACCTGTGAAGTCTGTGGCAAGGACTTCCATCGACTGGACCAGATGCGAAGACATATGAGGGTCCACGAAAACAAGGACAAGGATACGCAACATGGAAACGGTAGCATGGGCCGCGTCATTAGCGGTCGCGTTGAGAAGAACACAAAATGATGTTCCATCTTCTAGGTAGTGGCGTTCTGGTATGCTTTCGGTCTGTTTTTTTTTCGGTGTTGGTATGAAATTGGGTCTCCTTCTCACTTGGGCACGGCTTACGAAAAAGATACCCTGGGTCATGAACTGGCGTTATCGGTATACCCGGGAATCGGTGTTTGGGTAGCCCCTTTTACAGGAGGGCAAATATCTCAAAGGATGTCCCGTGCCGGCTGAAGGATTAGTTATTTTCAAGTTTCGCGCGGTGGTGCAGTAGTAGTAGTAGTAGTAGTAGTAACAGTTTGCTCGTCAGAGCCAAAGACAAGTGAACAATTTTTCACTGCCACAAGTCTGACTACCCACTGGTTTGCGTTCGTGGCTTGCATGATGACTTTGAGCCTGGCTCATCCGGGTCTCTATGTCGGTACTTCATCTTTACTAAAATCAACCGAGATATATTGGGGTTGGATGATTGCCTTCACGGTCTTGTTCGGGACGCTGACCTCGAGATCAGGGAGAGGGTCTGCGAACCATAGCCAGACAGCCAGACTGGCTACTCTCGAGGCAGAGGATTCACATACGACTGAGGAGTTCTACGAAAACTTAGTGTATCGAACGCCCCACAAGAGCCCGAGGAAAACCACACTGCGCCAAACCCGCCTGCAGCATGGCCGCAAGCCGGGGAAAGGCCCGACGCATTCCTTTGAAGTAAGATCTGACATCGGTTCCTCATCGTACGACTCTTGACGAGGGAAAGAAGATCCGTTCGCCACTGTTGAGAGGAGTGTTTGCGCTGCTTTGGGCTTGGGTCTCGTGTGAGGGCCTCCTGCCGGGACTGCGGGTGCTGCAACCGCGAAGGAGGTCAGTCTACAGTGCGGCATACGTTCGCCCTATTCGGGGGTGAGTCATTTGAGGCGTCGGGTGAGAATCCGGGACGTCTGCGTCGAAGTTGCCCACCAGCCGACGCTGTTGGTACCCCTGAACAGTTGGACTCATGTGATTACGCCGCGGGCATTGTGCTCCACTCGGTCAAGCACATTGCCTAAGGCTCTCATGGAGTGGCACGAAGATGTGATCTTGGTGGATATCGACGAAAATACTTTCCCTGTGTATCATCATCGCCGTCGTTCACCGAGGGGCTGAACTTTAAATGCCCCGCAATCTGGCCAATGCAGATTGGAATAGCGGATCTGACCGAAGACGGGGGAGTGACGGGATACTAAGAACCCGAGGCGAGTTTAGAAGTCGTAAGAATACGAAGTTGCGCCAGGGTGGATGAAGTTGCGCCAAGGTGGGTTTTGTTGTTGTCTCATGACTTTCGGGACTCGACCTGGGGCCAATTGAGGAGATGGGGGCGTTTAGACGTTCGAATGCGACTGTTCTGGACGTGGTTCGCCTTGGAAAGATCGTCTTGGAAGAAGTTGGAGGCTTGAATGTGGAAATGAAGTTGTCTGCGGTGGAGTTTTCGTCTTGTGCGGATGACGTCTGCTGAAAGTCCTACAGAAGTAGCACGAAAGTCACCAAGTTGTACAATCATGTTGAGAATGCCGCTTATCCTTCGTGTGGAGGAGATGGTGCAGATGATGCCTAAACTCTGCGAGTTGGCGACAGAATGTGCGAGAGAGGAAGTGGCATTTCCTCAGAGAAGATGGCGCCGCTGGGTGCAAAGGAGGGGGTTGTCGCGACAGGGTCTGGCAGACTCCCCGCGAGTTGCACCAGGGTTGGTTTTCTCTGTTGCTCTCGGCTTCTAATTATGACTGTGCTCTTATTCAGTCCTACCAAGGCCTGGATTGCATCGCTTTGGTTTCGACAGAGCGGTCGATGAGACGAATACGCTATCGATGATTGTCGTTGAGGAAGTCAACCTAGAGGTTTCCCCTCCCATTTCAGCGTGTCTGTGTTACTGTCACTTTCAAAAATACTGTGTTGTCCCCGTCGTCGTGTTCTTCTCGCCTATGCGGTGAATCATGTCTACATTATCGCTGCTTATGTTGCCAGGTTTGCTGCGGACGGAGCCATCACGTATTTTTCGGTCGATTCATATACTTAGGCCAGCGAAGGGATACGGCAGTCTCTGGGTATTGTCTATTGTCATTGAGAAAACCATTCAAAATGTGTGTGCAGCAACGGTGCCTTTGAAATTGCTCGATTAGCTTGGAATCCGAGTCTGTTTGAGGCGAATGATTCTTAGGATACACCGTCTTCCTCGATGACAGCTTATAAGGTGACACAAGAGCATGGCTGCCCACGAGTCAGGAAATATGACGCCGTGGTTAAGTGTGTCTGCGGCTATTCATACCCTAGGTAGGAATTGAATAGCTGACGATGAGTGGTTGTTTGAGGAATCTCACGATCAAGGAAACATCTCAACAAAGTCATTTCACGATGTGCCTTTACCAGGCGAAAGCAGGTCTAATTTGGCCAATGTTTGGAAGTAGCACATGCGCTTTGTTTCGAATCATAGAGAAGACTAGACCGTGGCTAGCTACATGGAAAAAATTTCAGCGTGTGGAACAACTATCGTATTCTCGCTGGAGACTTGATCGGTTGAGTTCATGAGTTGAATCAAGAAATTAAACGACCGGTAACGCTTAATCAACATCCGACAACGAGCTTCTGAGAGAATGCGCAACTAGCCAACTCAGGTTCTACGTAGTTGACAACCATACCTTGGTGAACACACCTTGATGAAACCATGACTAGACAAAGGTCTAGGGTTTAAATGTTTGTCAGGCATGAATCATTGCTCGAATCGTAAATGAACTTGATGGGGATGAGAGAAAGGCCGAGAACATCGCGGGAAAATGAGGCGCAAAGAACGCAGCAAAAATGGATTGCCTGCGATGTCTGTCAAGCATCGACACAGAAGAGCACGATCTGAGGGCGGCCGGGGTCGTTGAAAACCTATCTTAGGTCCGACAAGCATCGAAAAGCTAGCCATAAGGGTGATCTTGAAGAACAACATTCAAAATATGCACCAAGATGTCAGTGTCGACGATAGCCGGGAAACACATGCAGCTGAACGGATATACAGACATCTGCGGTGTGAGAATGGGCAGAGGAACAAACAGCTCACTTTGGAAACGGAGGGATTATTTTGAAGTCGGGACATCTTTGGCCCCATTTGACATTTTTGTCGGCAGCTCTATGCTACCAACCACACTCGGAGGGAGCCTCTCATCATAGAGATGTGACAGAAGAGAGGGCAAAAACCTGCGAGCCAAGCTTTTTGGTTTGCCATGACCGGTTGAGAAAATCCATTTGTTTGCAGCACTGGGAAAATAACAAAGCGCAAAACCCTTTAATTTCCCTCCGTGACCATGCAATGCATCATCGAGTAATTCGGGATCCCCGTGTGCCAAAAACGTGTTACGCCTCCGTTTCCATTTTCGTAGTTCCTCATCCCCAACCCTAGATACCCAGGAGCGGTTGGCTAATTTAAGCGGCCTGCTTCACAGTCAGTTACGGTGTCCTTCGCGTGGGAGAACCAGAGAGTGAGGTGGGAGAGCGTGGGGACAGCTCGTGGCAGAGGGGGACGGTCTGTCGATGACATGATATCCCACTCATCGAAGCACCATTTCACTGGCTCGTGTCGCTCTCCCATCCTCATCCACGTGGCTGATATCCTATTCGACTGACCTTCACGGCGAACTTGCGTTGAGGGAAGTGGACGGTGCGCTTCTTGGCCTTCTCGGTAACGAGGGCAGCGTCGGCGGCGGACAACCGGCGGCGGATGGCACGGGTCTGCTTCGCGCGGAGGTCGAGGGGAGCGTACTTCTTGTTCTTGTAGAAGAGGCGGAGCTGAGCGCGTTGCTTGGCGTTGATGACAGTCAGGACGCGGGCGATCGACTTGCGGATGTCGTGGCTGTAAGAAAAATTTCACCGGTCAGCCCTTCTGCCTTCCTTCTTTCGCGGATCCTCCGAGGCCTCCTCCTCCTGTCTGTTCCTCCCCCCAGACTCTGCGTCGGACCTCGATCGGGGGATTGGAGTGGTAAACGCACATCTTGTTCAGCTTGGAGCCAGAAGAGGCGATCTTCTGGATGCGGAGCTGACCGAGCTCGGTCTTGAGCTCTCCGAGTTGCTTCGTCAACTCATCCTTGTTCTTGTTCCAGAGCTGGCTGGCCTTGACCTTTCCGGACGACTGCGACAATGAAGACTCTCGTCAGCGAAAGTTCTCTGTGTATGTCCCCTTTGGGAGGGGCGTGATGTATGGTGTTTTTTGCGTTCGTCGGTCGGGGACGCGCGGGGGGTCGTGATTATTTCGGGATAAAAATATCGTGCTGCTCTGGAATCGCGGATTCCATCGTGATCAAGGGGTCAACTCACCATCTTGACTGATATGGGGGGTGGCGCTGGATATCTGGGTTAGTATCAACACGTCGTGAAGCGTCAGATCAATTCACAGATTGCAAAAATTCGAGGTTCGGGAAAAGAATGCCCTAGGGTTATGGGAAGTGTGGTGGTGTGCAATCGAAATTTAGCGGGGATCGATTTGATTGGAGTGCAGGCTGGCTTTTCAGTGGGGCTCTGAGTCGGACCTGCGCCACGCTGTCTGTTCAGCCACAGAGACCCTCGAAACCCCGGTAATACGCTCGCCGAGCTCACCGAGGATGGCCTGAGCGATTCATGCGGCACCACCCGACACTTACATAATCATTCCAGATGCACGGGCCATGTGACGCTGAGCTCCCTCCATGCATCTGGTCCCTGCCGACAGCGTCCCAGACACGCGGACATGGCTGAGCCCATCTGAAGACGACTTCTCGAACACAGGCAGCGAAGCGGACGAGCGTACACCCACCACCGCAAACGACATCGCAGCGCCATGGCTGCGGCTTCTGGAAACACTGGCTGGGCCCAGCTACGGCAACAAGCGCGAAGTCTCGAGACACAGGTATGAACTTCCATTTGCTCGCAGCAAGCATCACCTCTCCGCCGGGTTTCCCTGACATCCGAGTCGCCGCGCAGACAGAGACCTTGTTCCACACATACTCCCAGTTCTCGACAGTATCAGATATACCAGCAAAACCGACAGAAGATGAAAGGACAACAGAAGCAAAACTCCAGGATCTCCTCGAGAGAGTAAGACCGCCGCCTTCGTCCCCGCCAACCTCGGCTCAGCTAACACCACCACCAGCGCGAGAACGTCATCTCCCAACTAGCCCGCCTCCTCGACTCCGAAGCGACCCTCACCTCCTCCGCTTTGAAGCAGAACAACCTCGCCCTCCTCCGCGAGAAGCTTGCCGAACACAAGCGCGACCTTGTGCGCATCCGCAGCAAAATCGCCCAGGCCCGCGACCGCGCCCACCTTCTCTCCAATGTCCGCTCCGACATTGACGAGTACCGAGCCAACAACCCCGAAGCCGCTGAGGCCGAATACATGCTCGCCGAGCGCAACCGCATCGACAATAGTCACAACATGGCCGACAGCGTCCTGTCCCAGGCTTACGCCGTGCAGGACAACTTCAACATCCAGCGCGAGACCCTCGCCAGCATCAACCGTCGCATCACCATGGCCGCCAGCCAGGTGCCAGGGTTAAACAGCCTCATCGGCCGAATCTCCGCGAAGAAACGCCGGGACGGCATAATCATGGGCGTCTTCATCGCCTTCTGTTTCCTCGTCTTCTGGTGGTTCCTATGACGATGCTGCTATTGAAAAGAGAATGTGTGGTTTGACGTCCTCATTATGTCTGTTTTTGTCACAACAAGCCGTTACGACTGGGTGGGATTACCGGCATAAGGATTGCGACGGCGTTCTGGGATTGCTTGATGTTGTCTTTGTCTGGAATTGAGGGTATCCTTTTGGTGCATATTGTACACTAGAAAAACACGGGGTATCTATAGGCAGCAGGCTATGACCTGACTGCCATATACTATTGCTTGTGAAGCCCCCGAATAAACTGTTTCATGTTTTGAATCATCACGTCGACTTGTCGTCCCCGAAAGCCTTCTGTGCTGTGCTGGCCTCTTTCGCCGCCTGCTCCGCCTTGTTCCACTCGTGGAGGACGAGCTTCATGCTCTTCACCAAGCTATCCCTCTCATCCGGCCGACTGGGACCGCTCGCCGCCCAACGTATCCTGCAGAGATTGTCTACGAGGTACACATAGCCGACCTTGCTGTTCAGGTATCCAATCGACTCGCTGATCTCCGTTGTGATGGCGCGGGGGACCAAAAAGTACTTACCCCAGTCGCTCTCCGGCATCTGCTTGCGCAGGTTGCTCTGGAACAGCTTGACGATCCACGCCTTGAACTTGTTGTCCTCGATGTTGAGCTGCGCAATCTGCGCTCTGCCATTCATCTTGGTCAGGAGCTCGTGCAGCTCCGGGTTCGCCTCGGGGGAGATGAAGGTCTTGGTCTGGTCCTCGGCCCACTTGCTGCTGTACATGGCCACCACCGTCACCTTGTTCAGCAGCGCCCGCGTCGTGTCCCGCGCTTGGCTGTCCTTCTTCGCCAGGGTGTCGCCGACGAAGTTGGGGAAGAAGAGAGAGTGGTCGGCCTTGAAGGGTAGCGGGGGCGCGAGGAAGGATTTGCCCTCGTGCCATTGCATGTTGCGCCAGTCACGGAAGTAAGGGCGGGCCATCTTGTCCTTGCTGGAGGGTTACCATTAGCATGCTTTTCCCCATTAAAGAGAACAATGCGACTTACAGCTCCTTCCTGCGAACGAGATGCTTGTCGTAGTCGACAAAATCGTCTCTCCTCTGTTGCAACGACCTCCTGTCGACGCCCGAGTTGTCCTCTGGGTGCGGCGGGTACGCCATGCCAACGGGCCGCGGCAGGGGCTGCGGTGTGAAGTTGGTGACCTTCTTGCCGTACGCTCTCGGGGCATGGATCGCGGCCGCGGGGAGGTCGGGCTTTGCCGACTCCGCGGGTGCGACGGCCGATTCCGGGGCCGAGTCCGGGGCGCGCTTTTTTGCGGCGGCGAAGGGACGGGCTGGGGGCTTTGGTGCGGCGGCGAGCCAGGGACGAGTGGTGCTCAGGTGCCGCCTCGATGCGCAGACGGCGCAGGACAAGGCCTTCCTCGAGGGGCCCATGGACAGCGCCATGGTGCGGAACGGGGCGATTGGGGCCATTGCAGCGGTCTAGCTTGGCCGCGGGGGTGTGAGTATTTTGAGATTGTTCGGCTCTCAGCGGGAAAGGAAGTTCCTATGCAAAGCGCAGCAAGACGAGCAGGAGCAGGTCACTGAGGAAAAAAACCGAACAGTCGCGCCACAAGTGTTCCTGATGCCGCGTCGTTCCGTCTAGCTGCCGCCACAGATCCAGCCACAGCTAGGTGCAAGATAAGAGATTGTGGGACACTGCGGGGAGAACCGACTGAGGGGATGCAGTTGGCCGGTGGGAGTAGACTGGGGTTGCTCCGAGGGGCCCATTGTGTCATGGGGGACTTGGACGGCCGAACACCGTGAATAGCCGAGTTTCTGGGGGAGAGGGCGGTGCCGAGCGGTTCCTCCTACAGCAGTGTGTTCGCACATTCCTAGGTCTGCTTTCGGTTTCCTCCCTCTTGCGTTTTCGAGAGGTGTTGAACGGTCAGTTCTTCTCTTGCTTCTCTTCAGGGTCCGTAAACCGCTTCAAGATGTTTTGGCAACGAGGTTCGCACGTCGTGAGGACGCAATGGCACGTCTCCAAGAGTATGGCCCGTCTGGCGACGGCAAGGGCCGCTGGCGTCTACCCCTCGAGACGGTTTCACGACACAGCGCACCTGCGGGTGATCAAACCTGTTTTGCTGGCGGATATCGGTGAAGGTGCGAATAAAATCCCAAGATTTCTGCCACGTTGAAGACGCCATCATCTAACAATGGATCTCGGGGAAACAGGCATCGTGGAGTGCGAAATCATACAGTGGTTCGTCGAGCCCGGCGCCAGAGTCGAGGAGTTCTCCCCGCTGTGTGAGGTCCAAAGCGACAAGGCCTCGGTCGAAATCACCAGCCGCTTCTCGGGCGTCGTCAAGAAGCTGCACTACGACGCCGGCGACATGGCCAAGGTCGGCAAGCCCTTTATCGACATTGACATACAGGGCGGGGCCAAGCAGGAGGACCTAGATGCGTTGACGGCACCGACAGGGCCGGCAGACACATCTGCACCCAGCTCATCCGAGACCCCAGCAGCAGCACAAAAGGATCAATCACAAAAAGCAAGAGAAAACACACAGGCCGAGGCGGCGCCAGCCGAAGCTCCGAAACAGAAGGGCAAGCACGCGGCGCTGGCAACGCCGGCCGTCCGCCACCTCTCCAAGACATTAAACGTCGATATCGCCGAGATAGACGGCACAGGCAGGGACGGGAGGGTTCTGAAGGAAGACATCCAGAACTTTGTCAAGCGCCGCGAATCCGGGGGCCCCGTGGCGGCCCCGCCTTCCGGCGCCGAACCCACTGGGCCCGCACCGTCCACCGGACCCCAGGTCGAGACCCGCGTCCCGCTCACCGTCACCCAGCAGCAAATGTTCAAGTCCATGACACGCTCCCTCAACATCCCGCACTTCCTGTACGCCGACGAGGTGGACTTCTCCAGCCTCGTCCAGCTGCGCACCCGCCTGAACCGCGTCCTCACCTCCGCCCCGGAGCTCGGCGCCGACGGCGTCGCGAAGCTCTCCTACCTCCCCTTCATCATCAAGGCCGTGTCGCTGGCTCTCTACCAGTACCCGATTCTCAACGCCCGCGTGGATCTCGACGCCTCCACCCCGGCTTCTAAACCCTCCCTCGTAATGCGCAGCCAGCACAACATCGGCGTGGCCATGGACACCCCCTCGGGCCTCCTCGTGCCCGTGATCCGCAACGTCGGCGCCCTCAACATCCTCTCCATCGCCAAGGAGCTCACGCGCCTGCAAAAGGCCGCCTTCGCGGGCAAGCTCACCCCGCAGGACCTCGGTGGCGGCACCATTACCGTGTCCAACATTGGCAACATTGGCGGGACGTACCTGTCGCCCGTGATCGTGGACAAGGAGGTCGCGATCCTCGGCATCGGCCGCATGCGCGCCGTGCCGGCGTTCGAGTCCGAGGATTCGGACCGCGTGGTGCGGAAACACGTCACCAACTTCAGCTGGAGCGCGGACCATCGCGTCGTCGACGGCGCGACCATGGCGCGGGCCGCGGAGGTGGTGCGGAGGGTGGTGGAAGAGCCTGATGTCATGGTTATGCACCTCAGATGATGGAGAGAGATATGTAGGCGTAGAATGGGGTTGAAGAGGGGGCTGGCTGAGGGCTACGTGTTGCATGCTGGTATACCTGGGCGAATGGTAAGACAGGCACGATGACGGGAGGGGGCCGATTGACCGCGTGACTACACCAGAACGGGGGCCCGGGGGATGTAGTATGGTGTGGTCCTGTGGGTTAAATCTGACAATTAAACGTTTAATGATTTGTAGATAGGAGGAAGGGGGGCGAGCAGGCCCGCAAGCCCTCCGTGAACTTAGCATCGGGACAAAAGGAAAAAAGAAGAAATCAAGGGTTCATCACATGAAACAAGAGATCACCTGTGAGATGCTTGCTGCCCGACGCATGTCTGACAAGCACCGTTAATGCCAGTTCATGTAGCTATATGCTGTGATGATACCTTGCCCGGAGCCACTTCCCCCTCTCGGTGTGTCCCTGAAGATATGTGACGGCCCAGTGAGGATGGACGGATCGCTCTCCACAACCTCACCGAGTTGACGACAGCCAATGCTGCAGAATGCCCCGATGGCAAGTCACTGATGTTCCCTGTCCCCTCCAGGCTGCAGGCAGCTCGATCGGGGGGGGGGGGGCGGTGGCAAGTTGGGGGAACCAGATGTGAACAGGGTTCCTACCGCATCTGAGGCAGCCAGCAAATACATAGTTGCATTCCGTCATGTCATCAGATTCTGTATTCCCAACTAAAGGCTAAGCAAGTGAGGAACAACCAAAAAACCTTTAGCCGTCTCAACCAGTAGGCATTCACCATTTTAAACCTTGCATGAAGATACAAGCGCCAACTCAACATCGCTGTCCAGGCCTCTCAGACGGCCGCGCCCCTTTGAACTTCCTTTCGTCTGGGAATCGCGCTTGTGTGAGACCCAAGCACAAGTTGCCCGTCCTGAGCAGCGGCGCATCTCCCCCTGACCTTCCATCGCGTATGCAAACCGACTACATCGAAGTCGGCGGTATTGTAGACCAAATCCCAATGCTTGCGCCGTGTTAAGATCCCAAATCAAAGTCAACGCTCATTATTCTATGCCCTTTGAACTCCGTAATCCCGTAGGATATGAACCCAGCCAAATATGCGCCTTGCAGCTAGACGGCGGTCTCACTGCTCATCCTCCTTCTCCATCATCGCCTTGACACGGGCCAGAGCATCGATCTCGACCTCTTCGATGCTGCGGCTGACGTCGACGCTGATGACGTCGGTCTCGTCGGCCATGGGAGGCTCGAGGGACTGGAACTGGCTGCGGACCATGTTGGCGCCCATGTAGTGGTTGGTGGCAGCGCTGCGGGCCGTCACACGCTGGACGAGGACTTCTTCGGGCGCGGAAAGGTAGATGAAGTGGATGAGGATCGTGCGGTCGTAGTATCCGGCTACGCGGATGACGTCTCTGTACTTGCGCTTCAGCGCAGAGCAGGTCAGGACGACTCCGTCAGAGCCCGCGGACAGTTGGTTGCGGGACTCCTCACGGAGGGCAACAAGCCAGTCCCATCGGTCGGCGTCGGTCAGGGGGATGCCGTTGGCCATCTTCTCGATGTTTGCCTTGGGGTGGAACTTTGCGCACGCGAGTCAGACGGTACTATTGGAATACGAGGCAGAGGATTTGCAACTTACGCTGTCTCCCTCAATGTAAGGGAGCTTAAGATTTTGAGCCAAGTACTCGGCCACCGTTGTCTTTCCGCAGCCAGCCGGGCCAGTAACCAGCCAGATGTGGTGATACTTGGTGTTCAGGTTGCCATTGACGTGGGCGCCGTTGGCAGCAGAGGTCGGAACTCCGGGCACTGAAGGCTGTGTCTTGGACGCGACGGCTTGTTGGATGCCATTGGTTAGGCTCGAGGACTTTTGTCCGTTGAGTTGTCCGTTGACAGGCATCGGGGAGTCGTATGAGAGCATTTTCTTCGAATGTGGTTTGTAAGAATGGGGAGCGGATGTGAGTATGTTGTGGTAGTCGGAGTATGACGCTATCGCATCGTATAAACCAAGGTCGGCAGGGAAGACAAGGACGGAGAGGCAGAAGTGACGACAACACTAATGATGCAGTGAAGCTGAGGGTATATAGGATACGGACGGTTCAAGCAGTAAAGTAAGAGATTTGGGAATTTCTATTTTCAGCGCAAGGACATCTCGAGGGCAAGATCGAAGAAGGAACGGGACGACGGCGCAAGGCGTTGTCTTATACTTTGTAAGTGACTCTGGCAGGGACTCTCACTCTGGGGGATCGATGAGGAAAAAAATTCCAACGGGGGAACACAAGGGGTGCTTGACGGCAGCTAAAACGCCTGGAGCGTCCAGCAAGTCCCAGTACATCGTACCTGACCTTCACCTCAGCGGACTTCTTTCGGGGCCTGGTAGGGACAAGGGGCTTGTCACTGACCCGGGACCCAAAGAGCGGCGTTCCAGTGTCGTGCCGCCCAATGACCAGCCCGCAGCACCCCAGCGGGGAGAAATCCGTACTCCACAGATGACCGGGGGAGGGTGACTTGTCTCATAGCCGTAGGGGGTGCGCTCAAGACCGTCGTGTGTGTGTGTGCGTGCGTCCAATGTTCCTGACTGCAGTTTTCCATAGTCCCAGTACGTACGCCACGTACTAGCTCTCTCCACGGGGCCGGAGATGCTAAGGGGTTGCATCTGGGGACAGACGTGGGATCTGGGATCGTTCAACTGGACTGGACTGGAAACAACTCGTTCCTTTCGGTCGTGGGCCGTCCGGTATTGAGATCATCTTTGCTTATTCGTGCCGAGTTGAAAGCCTTGGACACCGAACAGACTGCAGACCACACTTGTGAGCTGAACAACCCTCTCATCAAAACCGACAGTGTGAAGGGCAGATCAAATACCGCAACAGCGGCACAGCAAGGGAGATCAACGGCAGTAGCAGCGTCAAAGTCTGGCAAAGTGGTTGCGTCTATTGCCGAGTGCCCTGACCGAACTCATATCCTTGAGGTACTGCGTAGTAGGTACAAAGCAGGTAGCGTAGCGCCGTTCGCCTGCACTGCGCGGCGCGGTGCGTGCGTGTGCAGCGGGATCTCAAGAGTTTGAGGACCCCGCGGGCCTGGTTCAGAGGAGAGTTGGGTTGGGTTGGTTGTCCCAGGAAAAGTGATTGTCCAGGAGGTCCCCGGGGAGGAGAGGGGTGTGGGAATACAAACATCTCAATTTGACAGCGGCGGCGAGGGCGACGATGCCGACAGCAGGTGCGTCGCGGGCCCGGGGAGGACGGAGAACGGGGTTCGGTCAGGGAGAATGGAAGGATTTCATTGGCTGAAGGGGCGAGGCATGACGATGCTATGGATGAATAGGGTCAAGAAGCCAAATTGGCGGGGAGGTGGTACTCTGAAGTCTGGGTACTCTGTACGCGAACAGCGGTGCGCGGGCTGGGTGGGTGGAAGGGGGGCGTACTGCTAGGTATTGTTGATGTTGCGGTTGTGGAGGAGGCAGCGTGGGGGGGACACACTTTTCTAGAACACACACTAGGAGATAATTTCCTGAAGCGGGCAGGGGACTGCGACTGGAGCGAGGTCACTCGACACGCAAGAAAAAACTCGGTTCTCAACCAGGCTGGGAATGCTAGGTGGGGGAAATGTCTCCGATAGCCGGCTGGGAAACACGGGAACTCAGGGAAACGGGGATTCTGGACGTTGACTGTGCATACCTAGGTACGGTAGGGTACGTTATGGCGGAGCAGAAGCCAAACAGCAGTCAATGCCCGCGGGGAACTGGAGGGCATCACTTGGTGACGGGACACTGCGACGACACGCGAACAACATGCGAGCGACTGGCTGGGGATGTTGCGTGGTGGACGGGGTAATAAAGGGGGGACGGATGGGGGATGGCGGCATCATCGCGGAGTCAGGACGCGGGACATGATGTCGGGTTCGAAATAGAGACGATGCCCAACAAGAAAGGTCAGCTGGCGGGCAGGGAAAGAAAGTGGTTTCGGTCAAGGCCCGAAGAGCTATAATTACATCATAAGGAAGACACGGAAGGCTGATGGGTCACGAATCCACGACAAAAGCAAGCTAATTAGTGCCTGCTTTCTCAAATGTGCATCCCCAAAAAGCAGCAGGCAGTACTACGTACTTCGTATGGACCGTAAGGTATGAACAACATCCACTCAGTCCTTGTTGCGAGACCGAAAAGCCTTTCTGAGAGTCGTGCTGCATCTCAACCGGTTGCTACCTTATTCGTACTCAACTAAGTAAGGTAGCAAGTCTTACTGCAGCTAGGGAAGTTGCTAAATCAACACAAGCACGACTACAAATACAATGAATGCTCTTCTCCTACCTTACTGCGTAGGGCCTCCGCCTGCTTTTCGGCTCGGCTGGTGTTCCGAGTGGGACCCGACAGTAGCCCGGGACTTGGTGCATCCATCCCATCATTTGGGAAAATTTGTGGTGTTCTTTTTTGCCCACCCCAAGTCCCATTCATCACTGTCATTTCATTCCAGCCATTCGGATTGCGTCCTCAGTCGCAACACTTCGTCTCTGCTCCAGTGCTTCTCCTCTTATCCACGGACCACGACTCTCCTCCACTGTGCTCGTTTTTGACATAGCGCAAACAAGCCAAACCCTCCGCAAGACTCCGCTAGATCCCAGTCCTTGCCCTGAGGTGCTGCGGGCAACCCACGCGCTGTTTGCTTGTCTTGCCTTGCCTGGCCGCTCCGACTCGTCGCTTTTCGCTCTCCCCCGATCCTTTTCTTTTTCGTCCGCCTTCTTTTCCCCTCCTCCTCCACGCTGACGCTCCTCATCCTGCACCTTCGACCGCCTTCTCCAAGTGGACCAAACAAATCACTCCAGATCACTCCCCGCCAACAAGTACCCAACACTGAGCCCAGCCCAACGGTCAAGGGGGACCGACACGCGAGCGGACAAGGATGAGGTCTCTTTTTTCACTTTGCCCTTAGGGGAGTCTTTTCTTGACAAGTACCTCTCAGTACTCGGCACCCCTCTGCCTCGCTTCAGTTTGGCTTCGTCGGCCTCTCACCGCTCTCGTGATGAAGCAGCTGACTTGCTTCCTGTGGGTCGCCCTCTAATTGCGAATTGGCCCATTTGATCGGTATTGGACGTCTCCATCAACCGTCGGCTCGGCTTTTGATCGTGACGTTTCGCGATAACCACGTTGCCGCCGTCGCAACACGGGCCATTCACAGCACGCGATCCTCTGTCCGTCCCAGCTTCTGCCGTGATCCGGCCCAAGGTCTGTCAATCTAGCAACTTTGCGATGCTGATGACAAGCCAACCTGGCTTGACATGCTGTCGAGTTCACCAGAATAGTACCGGTGCTTCTGGAAGGCAATCGCATGCACATTCAGTGTCAGCCCAAGTCATCGATCGCAATCGTCTGGCGGCCGATGGACACCTGCCTACCCCAGGCCGGTCTATGCGTAAGGCTCTACCAGGGCCACACACGATGCACAACATATCGAGCACTTTGCGAACTGCCTGCTCACGAGACACGGATACAAACCTACTGCAGGACGCAAGGTGAAACTACACTTCGTCCAGACCCAAGCTCCAAATGCACGGCGGATGTTCCCCGGTGGCCTTTGGTCTAAGCAACCCCGGTCACCGAGTTCCTTTTTGACAACGCTTGACCTGCCGCCCATTCGCCAAGCCAAATGGCCCCGAACAATCGGAAACTCCGGAACCGCAGGTTGCTTCCCCGGCCCAGAACTCGGCGAGATTCGACAGTGCTCGCAGGAGACGTCGGCTTCTCTACCCGGCCGAGTCGATGTCTTCAACGACAGGTCCGTTCACGCCACCATCGTGATACAGCAGTCGTCATTCTGCCGTATGCTCCATGCAATCTGGCACAGCAGGAACGGCCAAACACTTCGCACCACACGCTTGACAAGCAGTCGACCAAACACTGCCACGTCCCAATCGTCGTGCGGCGCAATCCTGTCCCTATTTGTTCCTTGCCGATGATGCGGGGCGTTTTTGAAGCACAAGCGCCACCCCGACAAGGCGAGTGCGAGATATTGACCGCCTGCCTAGCTGAATGCGCATCACGTAACTTGCCAATGCCTCCAACTCTGCTGCATACCACCATTCAGCAGGTCACCAGACCGAGCTACAACCCCTGTAGATGGTCTCTTGCAGTCCGTCAGATTTCACCTAGAGGCTGAGTCTTTTTCTGCCAGTTCCGTCACAGCCAGTCAAGGCCGCCCATGTCATCTTCGCGTAGTCGCCTGTTCTTCGCTTGCCGTGGGGATGATGTTTTCGCGCCAAAGACCAGACGTGTTCGTACTGCTCGGGCGTGCGGCAGGAATAGCGGCGATCCAGGTCATATATCATCAATCTGGACCTGGCTGTGAACTAGCTGCAGGTCGGCCTTCATAGGGCGGTTTGCAGAGGACGTAGCATGGCACTGCATGGTAAAGAGGCGAAATATCCCATTGGCTGTCGAACCCTGCATGCAAGGATACCTGACAGGCCCGGTCTGCGGGATGCACGCTGGACCCTCTCGGTGAGCAGACGGCATCGACAACGGGACGATACGTTGCCTTCCCCGTGGCCGGGAGGGGAAACGGATGCCTGATTGGTGATGCGTCTGGTCAGATTCGGCAAGGCAACGAAGCGAACCATACCTGCCATCTTGGAAGGATTCCATGATGTCTGGGAACAAGACGGGCGACGTGGTGTCCCAGACACGGAAACCATTGAGTTACTAAATCTCTTTCATTACTTCTGTGTCAATCTGGCGTTGTGCGGGGCGTTGGAGCCTCGGTGAGCTCGAGGGGGAAGCATTGACATGGAGCCATGAGCCGACTCCTATCTCGTCTCACATATGATATGCATTTGCTCCAAAATGCTTCCGCTGTCAATTCTGTCAGTAGCTTCCTGCGTTTGCTGATCAGAGTATGAACTGACTGC